CTCAGGACCACCCAGCCCTGAGCAGCTGTCACTCCTGGACTTGGTTTGAGAGAGTCTACAGCAAAGTAGAATGGGTGGCATGCATACGTATAAAGCCAGAGTCAAGAGAACAGAAGCCAGATGAGAGGAAACCAGCAAAAGAACCGAAAAAGCAAAACAGCACAACATCCCCAAGAGAACAAAATTGAGCTAAGGTAGTGGACTCTACCCATAAGGAAATTGCAAAAATGACAGAAATCAAATTCAAAATATGAATGGCAAATAAGATGATTGCAATTGAAGAGAAAGTTGAAAAACAACAAAAAGAAGCCCCCCAAAATTTCAGAAAATCAATAAAATCAGTGGGAAAAAAAAGTCACTAGAGAGCTAGACAAGATAAGAAAGAATATAAGAGCACTTAAAGAAATAAAAGAATCATTCAGGAAATTTCAAAATGCAGTTGAAAGCTTTAACACCAGGCTATACCAATTAGATGGAAGACAAGGCTCTCAAGATATCCCAGTCATTTAAAAAGCAGAGAAGAGTATTAAAAAGTCTGAGGAATCACTGAGAAAGATATGGGACTATGTGCATATACTAACATTTGAATTATAGGTATCCCTGAGGTTAAGGAGCTAAAGGCATGGAAAAACTTATTTGAGGAATTTATTTCCCAGGCATCGCCAGAAACTCAGACAGACAGACAGATAGAAGGTGGACATCAAACACTGGAAAGATACAAAGCAAGTAGGTCATTTCCAGAACACACAGTAATCAACTCCTGACATTTTAACACAGAAAATTTAGACTAAATTAATCAACATCCTTCTTTCCTTTCTTAACAATAAAAAGACATTAGAACACTTGATATCTGCTCTCTTTCTCCTGGCTCACTTAGAGTTGCCATCCAGAGAGCTCTGTCTTCCTTAAACCCCAGGTTAGATGTTTTTTCAGGATGTCTATTGGAAAGAACCTCTTGCTGGCAAATACGTTCAGTTTTTGTTCATCTGAAAATGTCTTCATTATTTTAAAGAGTTTCCTGGGTGTAAAATTCTAAGATGGCAATAATTTCCTCTCATAGTCTCACTTTCATTGTGCCATAGAAGTGTCAGCATCCATTTTTTGTTCCTTCATGGATAATGTTTTCTGTGGCTCATTTTATGTTACGTTGTCTTTTGTGTTCCGCAATTTCACTCTGACATGTTTATGTGTTAATTTCCTTTTATTTCTCCCACTGAGGATTCATTGGGATTCCTGAATCTGAAAATCGGTATGTACAGGAGAAAAAGGTGTGATACTTTACCTCATCCATCATAAGGGTCACTCATGGCTGACGCTCCTATAACAAAAGACAGGTCAACAAGAGAAAAACATAGCAAATGTATCTATCAAAGTTTTACATGACGTGGGAGCATTCAGGAATGAAGACCCAAAGACCCCAGGAAAACTGTCTATTTTTATGCTTAGGTTTGAGGAAGAATAGACAGCCACGTAGAAATGTGGCTGGACAAAGGGGTATAATGTAATGGGAATAGACTGAGGGAGAAAAGCCAGCAAGGTCTTGTCTGTTCAAATTCTTCTTGGCCTGTCTGTAGCATTCCTTCCTCCCAGTATGAGGTAGGACCCCTCTGGAATGAGTTCTGGTGTCTATGACTCACTTATAGGGGATAAGGACAGCCAGAGACAGGAGAGCAGGAAAAGGTGAGAGAGAAACTGCAACATAGTTTTCTTTTTGAAAGAAACATATCTAAAGCAAATATGATAGAATAATAATATCTTTTAAATTTGGTGCTAAGTATACATATGGCTGAATTATTTTCTGTGCACTTCTAAATGTCCAAAATACTTTACTTTTTTTACAGAAAAAGGACAAAAAGAATGAATGTGAAAATTCCCAAAATGTTTTGAAGAGACCATTTATGAATAGGAATTTGCAATACTGTATGCATTTTACAAGAAATATAATACAAACTTGTAAATATATGTTACTGCCACGGGAAAATTAAAAGTTAATCAGGGTTACAGAATATACAGTACTGCAAAAACTGGTTCAAGTATTGACTGGGTTGTAAATTCCAGGACAGGAGTGTTTATCTGTTTTGTGTTTTGTTCCCCCTGAATTGCCAACACCCATATAGAGCCCAGTACATAGTAAGTTATCAATAAATATTTGTTGAATTAGTCTTCTTTAACCATGTTCATCTGATAAATATAGTATTTCAAGTCTATGAAAAAAATGTTAAATAAATTGTTCAGTAAATAGGATTGGAAAAATTGGATATCTATTTGACAGAAAAAGAGATAATTTTTGTCTAACTCCATAGACAATAAAAATCCAGTTTAAATAACAATATAAAAGTAAAATGAAACTATAAAAGCATTTCTTAACATTAAGGAAGACTTACTCTGGCTATACTATGACTGGAAAGAAAGAATACAAATCAAAATTATTGGAGAGAATGAGAAATACAGTCTTTTTGTAATATATTCTGACATTGTCTACTAAAAATGCAAAGGTGTTTGGGTGCAACAGTCCTATTCTGGTTATTCTATTCATGAAAATAATATACATCAATACTTAAGGATAAATATATAAACACTTTTAGTAGCAATAGAAAAATAAATACATAAGAAATAGTAGAGAAATATATATTGCATGATCTTATATACTGGTATGTAAGTTAACAAGCAAGCAAAAATTTTTAGAAGGGCATAACAAGCTGTCAATAGAGACCAGAATAGTTTTTATGGGAGTAAGTTGGGACAAAATAGAAAAATATGTCTGATGCAATGTAATATGTACAACATAAAATTATTGATAATATTTCTCCAAAATTATAAAAATTGAATGTGTTTATGGTCAAAGGTTAGAAAGTAACATGGACCAGAAACAACTTGATTTTATTAGAAGATAGGACTGAGCGCTTTTTTTTTAGATTTTTAATGTTATTTGAATACTTATTTTCAATAAAGTAACTTTAAATAAGAATAAAATACTACAAGAAGTTTTATAAACCAGGTGGGATAAATATTCCTAATGAATTCAAGGAAGCTAGAATATTTAAAGAAAAGTGTTGATAATTTTGCATCATAAAAATGTAAAACTTCTGCATGGTAAAACACTATACTCAAAATCAAAACACAAGGACAAAACTCCACAATGATAGAGTGGGAAAAATATTTCCAACATTTATGAAAGGAAAGAATTAATATCTCCAATATTTTAAAAGCACCTACCAATCAGGTAAAAATAAAAGACAACCTGCTATAATGAATGTACTGCATATATGAACCAGCAAGTAACAGAAAAGAAAGTGCAAATGGCCAATAAACATACAAAAAGATAGACACCTCTATTAATCAGAAGACGTCAATTGAAACAGTAATTTCTCTGCCTCTCTAATTGGCAAAATTTTCAAAAAATGGAAGGCACTAAAATTGGTATAGGGAACTTGTCACATTTACAAACAGTTCATAAAAATGTAACAGATGGTAAAACCCCCAAATCTGCACATGAATTGTTCTTAAATCCTTAAGTCCTCTATATTCCATGGGTCTGTTTTATGGTTTCATAGGCTATCTATTCTCTGGTCAACTTTTCTATCACTGCACAAATATGACACATTCTTAATCACAATCAGTTTGTTATTGATACTTGCTAGAGTAATTCCTCTCTCCAATACATTATTGATTAAAGAGGTAATAAAAGTGAGCATCCTAATCCCATTCTTGATTTTCAATTATTTTAATTGAAATTAGAATTTAGAATAATAATTTTTAGAATGATTTAGAATAATAATTTTTAAGTTTTTGGTTTTGGTTTTAACTTTTAGTTATTATGGATACAAAATAGTTGTACATATTTGAAAGATACGTTATATCAGGTTAAACAGGTTCGTTTTTATTTCTATCTTTCTAGCTTTTTGTGTTCAATTTCAGAATATTACAGGAATACACATGCTTTGGTTACATAATTTGCTTTTGAACAGTTTGAGTCAAAGTTATAAGTGCGCCTTTCACCCAGATAGTGTGCACTGTACCCATTAGGTGTGAATATTCCCATGCCTCCTCCTCCATCCCACCTAATTGATTTCCGTTGAGTTTTACTTTCATATGTGCACGTAAGTGTTGATCCGTTGATTCCGTTATAGCATTGAGTACATGCCGTGGGCGGGGACCAGAGGCGGGGCACCGGGGGCGGGGCGACGGCGCTGATTGGCTGCCCCGCTGTGACCCCTCCAACGGGCTATGCGGAGCGCGGGACTAGGCAGTTGGCCTCAGGGAAGACGCGCCGCCTGCGCGCGGGGTCCTCTCCCTTCCTGGACGCGGCCGCCTCTGCCCGCGCGCCCTGGGAGTGTCTCCGATCGCACGAGGCTCCCACACCAGAAGGATGCGGCCGTTGAGCTGGGCCCGTGCTCTCCGCCGCCGCGGCCCCCGCGCTCGCCACAACCCCGCGGCCAAGCGAAGGACGCGGGGTTTAACGCTCACGGCTCGCGGCTCCGAGTTCGTTGCAGGACTCCGCATCTCCCGCACTTGCCACCGCCGGCCACGTTTCCGCGGCGCTCCGGCATTTCTCGGGTCCTCTCCTGCCCTGGACGCGGCCGCCTCAGCCGCGGCGCCCTAGGGAGTGTCTCCGATCGTCGAGGACTCGCACCAGAAGATGCGGCCGTTGAGCTGGGCCCGTGCCCTCGCGCGCGGCCCCGCGCTCGGCACACCCGCGCCAAGCGAAGGGGGGGTTTAACGCTCACGGCTCGCGGCTGAGTTCGTTGCAGGACCTCCGCATTCTCCCGCCTTGCCGCCGGCGCACGGTTCCGCGGCGCTCCGCATTTCTCGCGTTCCGCATTTCTCGCGTTCCCGCGATTTCCCTGTGGAGAGTTCGGATGTTTTTTCTCTAGGAAAGACCCGCAGCCCCAGCCGCTTCCTTCAGCGCAGCGATCGCAGCCGGCTCCTCCTGCGGGGGGGGCGCGGGCTGGGCGGGACCCGGTCCATCCGCGCTCGGCCTCGGTCCGAGGTGCTGCGCCATGCCCTCGGCCGGGCGACAGAGGTCGTCAGGGCCGGCGGCGTCCGCCCCTGAGGGACAGCCGGCGCTGACGCAGGTGGGCGGCCGGGCTGCGCCCCGGGTCAGCCCCTCGCCCGGCCTGAGGCGCCGCCGCTCCGCGTAAATGGCGGGGTTCCCGCGCCCGGGCGGAGGTCCGCATGACTCCGGGTCTTGAGGGTGGTGGTCAGAGTTGGAGGTGCGGATTTTGGTTGGTGTTTCTAGCCCTGTACTTCTACCTCGCCACACCCCAGCATAAGACATTCTCATATTTGGCCATTTTTTTTCCTTGTGGTCGGGGTGACCCTTTATAAATCATGTGATGGAATAGTGACACTGAGCCAGCTAGTTAGTTTTATATGGTTCCCAGTCGAACAACAACCACTTTCCATGCATGGCTGGCCTAGACTCCCAGACAGTGGGTGAAAACTCTGGCCAGGGTAAGGTGAGAGGCTATAGCAGGAAAAATGACTTTGGTGAGACAGCCTCATGGGTGTTTGTGACTATAGTGTCAGTTTACGCAGGTATCTCTAATGGCTGTTTTTAGAGGTGTTAATTGCAGAAGATTGAATTTAGAGCGTAATTATCAGGATAATTCAAGTTGGATAAAACGTCATTTACCACAGATTTTATTTAGGTCATTAGAAACAGAGTCCCTGAATTATATTTCTACCACCTAGGGGGGACAAAAGTAAACTCTCATGTTTAAGTTATAGCAAAAAAAAAAAAAAAAAATCTATTTGGAAGGAGGGATTCTGAGATGTGTGAAGATTTAAATTTGAAACAAATGTAAAGGTTCTTTAATTTTTTATGTGAGAACTAGTGTCCGTGTCTTTGCTTCAACTGTTTCTTCCTCCCTTTTACTTGTCTTCCCTTGAAGGCCAGTTTGGGACCTCTCCTGCCTATGAAATAGAGTAGTGCCTGCTCTGATGACCTTTGGGGTATAAATAGGAGAATCCATCTCCAGCCTTGAGCCTAGGGCTGGACTCGTAGTCAGCAACAACGGTTATGATAGTGTTCTTCACAAATACTCTGATCAAAATTTAACCTCTTTATTCTCTGACCATTAAAAAAAATGACTGTGTATAGTACTTTGTTACACTTACTATCCTATTTTTTTAAACTTTTCTATTTTAGATGTTATACTTTTTATCTGTATAAATGAAAAATTGTAGGCTCCTTGATAGGCTAAGCATGAGCGATACAAAACTTGTTGAATTGGATTGAAAATCAACTTTTACTTCCTTTATAAACCACATGGTCTTTATTTATCTTGTCTCAACAGAAAATGAAAGTATTAGTAGAAAGAAGGAGGAGTGTTCCATCTAGTCCCCTCCATAGAGCTCCGCAAGAACAGCCTAGAATCAGCATGTAAGTGCAGAGCTTTGTACTACACTTCTGGTATGTGCTTGGAACATTATAGTAGACAAAGAGTTTTTCAGATCACATTTTTTATGTGTCCGTGTTTTTTGTTTGTTTTCTTTAGCACCAGAATTCTCTGTTTAATCATAGAAAACCTGACTGATGTCCTGAGGTTATTTAATAAGACCTCTTCTTTGTGGGAATCATACTGCCTTTTAGAGCTGGTGTGTAAGCTTGGTTGCTTTAAAACTGATCAGTAGTGAATCTCACATCACATAGTACACAAATATTCAGGTTCCACATTTTATCAAAGTATATTTGTAGAAACAAAAAATCAGAAAATGAATGTTGTTCTACACAAAACATTGCTTATTTTTTTATCATAAGTTGATGCCTGTTCTACATAAAACATTGCTTATTTTTTTATCATAAGTTGATGCCTGTCCATGAATAAGATCGTTTTTTTCAGCAGTTTTAGATATGAAGGAAGATAACCAGATTGAGATTATACAAAAATGGAATATTGATTTCTTTTAGATATTATTGGTTAAATCACGGAAATTCAAAGTGGGAAAAGAAGCTAAATATGTAATAAAGTGGCCATCTTACCTATTCTGACTGATTATTATTTCAGTGGACATTTTAAGGGTCTTTCATAATGTGTAGATATTTAATGGATATCCAATTATTAATTTATTCATTCATTTTTAAATGGCATTTTTTACTCATAGCATTTTTTGTGTTCAAATGAATCTTGTGATGACATTCTTCTCAGCTATGAATCCTTTTATATAAAGTGAAGTCTTCATCTTTATTTAAAGTGAGGGTATATCTGCAGCTATGATATTTTTGTGAATGATGTGCTAATTTAACATAAAATCTGTATGAAGGGATGGAAGATTTTTAGTGCCACAATAGATTCTTTATACAAATCCCATTTAATGAAACTTATCAAAATACTTACATCACTTTCTTCCCAGTGCTCAACAGTCCTCTTAGATTCAGTACTCTTTCTGATCTGTCCCCAAAAGATATATGCTTTAGTTATTGGGTTGATTAGGAAATGTAAACTCCTTTTAATAAGTGCCTAATGAAAATTTAATTAGGAAGATAATTTCTTAGCAGTTTTTGTACAAAGGTTACATAAATTAAATACTCTATGAAAAAAATCAATGAATTAAATTTCATGAAATGTTAAAGCTTTTATCAAAAACACAGGGAGGAAAGTGTACCAGACAAGCAACAGACTAGGAGCAAATATTTTCCCAAACACATACCTGACAGAGCACTGTATACCAACACAACGTGCCCAGGATTCATAAAAAATTCCTAGAACACAGTAGATTACATTTGCATAACAACATATAACTCATTTTTGTAAAGCTAATGAGCAAAAGATTTGAATACATTTTACCAATGAAAATGCACAAATGGCCAGTAAGAACATGACAGAAATTAGTCATCAGAGAACTACAAGTTAAAATCATACTGAGAGGCCACTATATATCCTCTAGACTGGCTAGAATTCAAAAGACTGACAGCAGCAAATGTTTTTAAGGTTGCAGAACAACTGGGACTCTCCTACTCTGTTGTAGGGAATGTAGAATGATACAGCCACTTTGGAAAACTAACTAGAAGGTTTGTTTTTTTTTCTAAAATTAAACATACATGTATTCTATGACCTAGCAATTGGGATATTTACCCAAGAGAAATGAAAACATAGGTCATAAAAAGACTAGTGTAATATAGCAGTTAAAACTGGAAACATCCTAGGTGTCCATCAGTAATAGAATAAATAAACTCTGGTATATTTATACATTGAATATTATTCAGTAATATAAAGGAATGTATTATTGATAAATGAATTCCAAAAGCATGCTGAGTAAAAGCTACCTAACATGAAAAAGTAAATGCTGTAGTTCCATTTACATAAAATTTTGGAACAGGCACAACCTTCACCATCCCTCAGTCATAAAGATAGTTTCCTATGTGTTCTATTAAAATACTGATGATTTTGGTTTTTACATTTAAGTCGATGATCTATCTCAAATTATTTTTGGTTTATAGTATAAGGTAGAGGCTGAGGTTATTTTGTTTTTCGAGATGGGAAAACCTTCAGTGGGAAAGAAATCAGAATAGTGGTTTCCTCCAGGAGTGGGGACTGACTGAGATAAGAAATGTGAAGGATTCAGACACTGATCAAGCGAAAAGGAGATGATGATGGCACAAGGTTGCATGAGAAAATAAGTCCCCTACCACACGAGACTGTCCAGAGGCTTATGATAAAGGATGGGGAAGAGGGCAAGAGAATTCTGGATGAGAGGTGAATCAGAGAGGGTGTCTCTGGAGATGACATGTCCAGGTGATGTTGCTCAGTAGTGAGGAATGTCTGGGTCAGAGAACGGTAAGGGACAGTAGCAGCGTGGGGTCTCATAACCACAGGTTCTCTCTTATCAGTGGCCAGCAGATGCTGGATCTAGTTTTATGGAGTATGCAAAGCAGGCAGGCTGTTAGTGGCTACAAATCTTCTTGTGTGGGCTATTTTTCAAATGATTGGGTATGTAAAAATTTGAGATTGGCACTAGTGAGCTTTTGAACTAACAGACCTCAGCCTGCAATGAAGAAATAACTCGGGTCAATCCATAGAAACTATGTTTCCTTAATTTACATAATTACCAGAAAGGGGGATTTTTTTGAGTGATGATAATTTCCTATATCTTGATAGGGTCTTAGATTACACAAGTGAATACAATTGTGAAAAGTCAGTGAATATCATGCTTTAAAAGGGCTTTATAAAAAAAGATCAGTGATATACACCTAAGATTTTTGTATTTGTGCATTTTCTATGTAAATTTTATATCAAAAGGAAAATATAAATATTGAACTCTAGTTAATGACATGCATGCTGAAGCATTTGTGGGGGAGATATGTACTGCTGTATGCAGTGTACACTGAAATGCCAGCAATAAAATAGATTGGTAAATAGACCATGTGTGTTGGCCATGCCTGTAACCCCAGGCCTTAGGGAGGCCGAGACAGGAAGATATCTTGAGGCCAGGAGTTCAAGACCAGTCTGGTTAGCATAGCAAGAACCCATCTCTACAAAAAAAAATTTAAAAGTAGCTCAGTGTGCTGGCATATGCTTGTAGTTCCAGCTATTCGGGCAGCTGAGGCAGGAGGATCGCTTGATTCTCGGAGTTGGAGGATACCGTGAGCTATGATCACACCCCTGTGCTTCACTCTGAGTGACAAAGCAAGACCCTGTTTCAAAACAAATGATTGAATGAATGAATGAATATAGAAGGATAGATAGATGGATACATATACAATAAAGACGGCACAGTAAAACATTAATGGTAAAAATCTACATGCATGTGTTTATCATAAAACTACTTCAACTTTGCTTTATGTTTCAAAATTTTCATAAAAAGGTGTTAAGAACTACTGTGTGGAGAATACACTAAGGGACCAGTGAGGACACTGCCACTGCATTAAAAAGTTACAGAGTTTTATATTTCTTGACCAACTTTAAGCTAAACTTTTATAAAAACTTGGTCCTATATTTGATCATTTGACTGAAGATCTGTGGAATTTGATCTGTCACAGGGAAAGGCCTGCTGCTGGCATGAACATCTGTGCGTTTCTGTCAGCATTTGCCTGTTCTGATAGGACTCTGCTGATTGACGGCCTGGTGGAGCTCAGAACAGGCCTGCAGAGGCAGGAACGCCATCTATTTCTCTTCAATGATCTGCTTATTATAGCCAAAAGCAAGTAAGTGGACTGCACAGTCTCTCCTGGTTATCATTATAAAATTGAATTTCCACTAACAGAGATACCCTTTCTACACAATGGTTATTCTAAGAACATCTGGCCTATCTTACTATACCTAGTATCTGAAGTGAGTTTTATGTTTGTTTCTTTTTTTGCAAAATAAAGTTTCCATTTTTTATTCATACAATAAATGTTCATTTAGGTCTTGTTCCATGCCCTGAATAAATGTGGAAATGTAATGAAGGATGTGATGGGTATAGTCCCAGCTCTTTAGTACCTTACATTCTAATATGGGAGCTTACTTTCGTGTGTAGGGGGGAAAAGGACAGATTGTGATTAGTGCTATGAAGAAAATAGGGTGGTGGGTGAAGTAAAGGATGGGGTATATGTTAGGTGTGTGTAGTCAGGGGGAAAAATCATTGCAGGTTAAAAAGCAACCAGCCATTTAGATAGATAATGGGAGTATGAGCGTTCTAGGTTGAGAGAACAGGTACATAGGTGGTGGGGAAAGCTTGGCCCTTAGAGGAGTTCAAAGAAGGCCTGTGGAACTGGGGCCTAATGAGCAAAGGTGAGTGATAGGAATTATGATTGGTGAAGTAGACAAAGGTTAGGTCGTCAGGACCTTGTAGGCTGTATTAATTCTTTATTGCTATGTAACAAATTACCCCAAAACATAACAGCTTAAAACTGTAAATGTCTACATTTTCTCTGAGTGAGGAATCTGGGAGTGTTTTGCTGGGTGGTTCTGGCTCATGGTCTTTCTTGAGGGCTCTCTGGCTGGCTGGGCAGGGTCCCAATTATCTCAAGGCTCAACTGGAACCCAAGAAACCACTTCCAAGCTCACTCATGTGGGTGCTGGCAGCTGTAGTTCCTCATGGCTGTTTTCCAAAAGCTTCCTCTCCATGTGGATCTCTCCACAGGGCTGCTCATAATGGCAGTTGCTTCCTTCAGAGTGAAAGATCAGAGAGTGAAAGAGAGAATAGGCCATTGTAATAGCACCCCAATTAGAAACCACAGTATTTTATAACCCGATTTTGGAAGTAGTGTACCATCATTTCTGACGTATGTGATTGGCCACACAGACCAACCTTGGCACAGCATGGAAGGGAACTACACACTGTATGAATATTAGGAATTAAGGATCATGGGGACCATCTTGGAGGCTTAGTACCACAAAGGCTATCATAAAGACTTTGGATTTTATTCTGAAGGGTTTTAATTGGGGGAGTGGTAGAGTGTGATTCTTTTTTAAAAAAAATATATGATTCTGGTTCATGCTAGTTAGATAACGCACTAGAAGGCAGACAAGAGAAGAAGCAAGGAGACTAGACAGTAAGTTGTTAGTGGTTCTGATGGAGATAGCAAGGGCTCTATCTAAGGAAATGACAGGTAAGAGGAAGATACAGACATGTCTGGAACGTACTTTAGAGGTACCCAAGAGGATTTACTTGCTGCTCAACACTAAATACCAGTGCACTTAATACTCAGCCTAGAACATGGTGGCTGCCGCTGGCTCTGTTTCCCATTGTCCTTATGTATGAAACATCAGGAAAGATAAAACTATTTTAACAAATCCAATGTCATGAAGGAGATTTTTAGTCACTAGAGAAGAGTAAACACTTTTTTCTACTACCCACACTCACACACCTAACTTACTCAGTGGCATAAATAATGCATGGACCAGGGTAAATAATTTTGCAATTATATTTAATCTAAGTGCTATTAATAACAAGAGAAACTGTTTATTGGGATGTTATTGTATTTTAGGTATTCTTCTAAAGACTTTAACCCTTATAACTATTTTATGAAATGGGTACTTATTTTCCTCATTTTAGAAAAGAAATTCATATTCTTCTCACTACTGCACTTGTCCAGTCTAAGAAAAAAAAAGAAAAGAAATTGATAGTAAGAGAAATTAAGTGACTTCCTCAAGGTCACAGAGTAATTAGTTGAACCCACCTTGAACCTAGATCTACCTTATTCCAAAATCCATTCTTTTAACCAATATGTGGTCTGCTGCCTCTATTACTGATATCTTTTTAATGGATTTCACAGGAGAGTCTTCAACCATATAATTTTTTTCACCGTTAAATGAGTCTTTTCTTTGTGATGAGTAAAAGGTTCCAACTAAATACTCATTTAGTAAGAAATGGTATAGAATGCTTAGTGAACTTTTCAAGTTGAAGGCAACATAAAGATAATGAAACAGTTTCAGAATATTTTCAATAGAAGTGATACCTACAAATGTAGTTTGAAATGTGAATATGACGTTTTGAGTAATAAAATGAAAGAAAAGTTTTTTGTTCCTTTGTTGCTTTTGGTGGGTTTTTTTTTTTTTTTTTTTTTTTTTTTTTGGTCTAAGCCTTTGCACTTGAACAAGTCCATAGGAAGATCTAAGTAGGGAAGATGTTACCAGAAGAACAAATCCTTTATTTCTTAAAAAATATTTGTTCATTTAAAAATTATTTTATGGGTTATATTATGTATGCTAGGTATTATAATAGGAGAAATCAGAAAGGTCTCATTTAATTTTCCTAGCAGTCCCCCAAGATGAGAGTTATTTTAGATGTTGAACACTGAGGCTCGAAGAGGTTTGCCATAGACTAGGAAATGGTAGAGCTCCGGGCTTTAACATAGACCTTAATTCCAAAGGCTGGCTCTTTCTGTCTTCCTTATCACATTGTACTCCTTAGGTGCAAGGCTTAGCCTGGAGGTAGATACGCAGACAACAACCAATTTCCTGAACTTTAGGACCTTAAAGGCCACTTACTTGTAACATGCATTCAACACTTAGGGAAAAAGGTATTTTCCTTAATTTTTGGATTTTTTTTCCTTAGCAGTTATTTAGAGAACTTTTGGGGTTTTTTTCTTACCTTATTTATTGTTCTGTATACTAGTCACATCTAAGTGATCTTTATGTAACCTAGATTTTTCTAAAAGCATTTTATAAAAAGACAGTTGTATTACCACTAGAAAATTGTTGTTTTTAGGTATGTTGACAAAATTTGTGCCTATTATCTACTTTTATAGCTTTTTATTTTAATTTTCCTTCACATAGGGTTATACCATTTTATCCCAGATAACTCTGTGTCCACTGTAATGTTTTTATGAAGTGACAAAAATTATATCAGTTGATGTAAATGCTGTTATTTACAACATCCAGTTCATGGGAGATTACTTTAGATACTTTCTATATCCATTGGGGATATTTAAAAGTTCAGGTGATCTATGTTATTTTTTATGTTTCTGGCATAAACCCAAGGGCCTTAATTAAGATAGAAAGAACACAGATATTTGAAGAGATGACGATGATGATGATGATGATGAGTAAATCCTGCCACCTTAAAAAAAATTTAGAAAATTTTTTAGGAAATGTATTACATGATCATTTTCATAGCAAACATTTAGATATATTCACAGATCCTTCTTAATATGAAAGAACTTAATTTTTTTTCCAAAATAAACAGCAGCGACCAAAAATTAATAGCCTCTGGCAATATCAAACGGTGTGGATACTTACCCTTGGATAAAAAATTAAGTGGTACCCTGGATCAATTAATTTGTTGAAATAATCTGAGACCAGTGCTTAGTCTCAATAATTAGCCGTGGGGAAAACGGGAGACCTCAGTTCCATATTATGTCAGCTCATCTTTAGGCTTCATTTGGAAACTGCTTTCAGTCCTTGGATAGGATCTATAGAAGTAAACTCAAGTGGGATAAATAATTGACAAGCTGTCACATATTTACTTAGTCAAAAGAAGTGAATTTTAGTAAGAGCAATAATAGAGAGGGTGTTAAATGCACCCTTTTATTGGCTAAAGTATTATATTTGCTCCATTTTGTGCTGGATGTTAACAATGTTGCTAAAAATTGTTTTGAATTTATTGTCATTCTTTTCCATACTAAATTAGGAATGTATTAAAGGCAGATATGGCCCTGGGATCTTCTTTTGTATTCATTAGGGGTGACACCTTATTGATCTAGGAAAAGGATCATTGGAATGACTTTTTCCCCAGGTCAGTATGTGTGGATGTTTGCACATGATATCTGAAGTATCCAATATGGATAGAGATCTGCATTAGAAAACACAAAATGTCAAAGCAAACATGAAAGAGTACCTTTCCTTCCAAAAGATTTGTAGTCTAAGTTTTATATTACCTGAATAACTGGCATCACAAAATAAAAACCAGTCTGTAATTGAATCTGTTTCATAAAAAATCTAATGATTTTTAGCAATACGGTAAACAATATTGAAATAAAATATAGAAAGAAGCCATTTTGCTACAACATACTTTTCTCTTACACTTAAATTCAGTGCATCCTGTGGGAAGCACAGACAAGTCTTTGAATCTAGGTTGTCTTTCATGCATATTTCCTGTAATGTCTTTTCATCTTATAAATCCCACTTAAGAGTTTTAGCCTTACTATTCCATGAATCAGAGAGTTTTAGGGATGCTTCCATACATGAGGTATCTTTGATTTTATTTTAGCTTTTCCACAAATGGTTCTGAATGGCAGGAAGGACCCAAGTTTCCCTGGGTGTTCTCTTTATCCTACTTAGTTTCTTCTGTTTAAATCTCAGCTCCATCTGAGCAATAAATCTGTCACTTAGCTCAAGAGATATGATGGTTTCCATATCTAGGGTCTAACAGGGATTAGGTAGAACTTGTCAAAAAGGAATTCCTAAAGTAGATCACCTTCTGAGTCCCCAGGGATAAACATTAATTGTGTCAACCCTACTCTCTCTCTAAGGTTCTTTTTTTAGGCTTTCCGTTTTAGCCAGAATATAAGGGAGAATGGTTGAGCAGAATCTTAAGAAAGGAAATTTAAAATAATCTATGCTTCTAACGTCTAGAAAAGCTTATAACCACTCAGTTGAAAATGTATTATAAATTCCTCTAATTAATCCCAGGTTTTTTCAGTGCATCTCTCTTAAAATGCAAATGTTATAAACATCTTAATAAATTATGTATACCTTTTGTGTTCAGCCACTCCAGTCTTTTTGTAAATAAGCAAGTTATAAATAATAAATGAATTAATTTTTTGTAACAGGAATAAATTGAAAAGTGTGTTTTTGATCCAAATGCAATGCTCAATGTATAGAAAAATAAAATGGCAGTTTATGGTAATTTGCTGCCATACATTCAGACATGAGTAATAAATGCTTCACCAAGTGTTTTACAGGCCTTCTTGGTCCAAGGTAGCCTACTATGTTACAAGTTACTGCCTCAGGCACTGAAGATAAAAACAATGAATAGACATTAACACAAGTACAGAATGTCCCATACAATTTAAGAAACAAAATAACAAGAGGTCCTTTTTGGTTTTTATCTTTCTAGGCATAAGAATAATTTGAAGTTGAAAAACATGATTCAATTATCTGACATGTGGACAGCAAGCTGTGTCAATGAAGTGGGAGACGGCAAGAGCAGTGCTATGAAATCCTTTGTCTTGGGGTGGCCCACTCAAAACTCTGTGGCCACTTTCAGGTAAGAACCACAGCTTGTCCTGTATTTACCTTGTTTAGCTACTATGGTGATTTCTGGGATGAGGGAAAAAATTTAAGCAAATTTTGCTTAAAAAAATTTAAGCAAATTTCCCCAAATCATTAGAAGGAAAATATTTTATTCTGATTGTTTCTGAAGTCAATGACTCATCTTTTGACACATAATACCCAACCAATATGCTTGTGTGCCTTATGTTTGTCCCAAAGAGCTTTTGGTTAAAACCTATGAAAATTAATAGTAACTGTTGGGAACTCTTTAAGTCATTTGCCTTGGCTTGACAAGTGAGTTTTAAAAGGGCTCTACAGAAACAACTGGGGGGATGAGAACTTCCAGGAATATGGAAGGAGAATACACTGGTGGTCAGATCTTTAGGATTCCCTCTCCAACATCCCTTTTCCTAATGTCTAGGTACTTATATGTTTTACATATCGAGCTTTCGAATCTTATCCGTCTTTTCAAACCACTGAAATGGCCTTTACTGAAGCAAATTTTATAAAATAGTCCAAATAAGTTTGGATAAGTGGTTTATACCACAAAATTTTCTAAAGGAGTAGTTTATCATCATACAAACAAAATTAATGTCATGAAATACTGGGTTCTCTGAATTGTGTATCAGGTTTTGGATTAGTATCTATAAAGATGTGACATTCAAGAGCAAAAAATATTTTAAGGAGTAAAAAGTGGTTTCTCAAGAGTCACTTGTAGGTGAGGATGGGGTTGGAGAATGTATGAATAAAGAATTTTTGTCCTCTTATGCTGAACGTGCTTAATTGGCACTTTACAGTTCAGTGAAAGTATACCAAAGCTTACACCTGTGCTTCTGAACAACTGTGCTCCAGCTCCAGTATTTGTTTTATTCTTGAAGATTGAGTGTCCATTATATGCACATGATGCTGTTCATTCTGCATCTTTCCCACAAACTCCTCAGGCATCATCTTAAAGCCGGTTAACCAAAATTTTCCAAGCTGTTAATCTCTATTAAAAGACAGGCATGTCATTAACTCTGCTATGTATTATTGGCCTCCCAGATTTTAAGACTTATTTGGAAGGAACATGGGTTTGTATCTTTCTCTGTGTATCTTCTTTTCTTTGACAGATGTCTATAGATATTATCATTTCTTTTTTTTTTTTTTTTGAGACAGAGTCTCACTTTGTTGCCCAGGCTAGAGTGAGTGCCGTGGCGTCAGCCTAGCTCATAGCAACCTCAATCTCCTGGGCTCAAGCCATCCTCCTGCCTCAGCCTCCTGAGAAGCTGGGACTATAGGCATGCACCACCATGCCCGGCTATATATTTTCTCTATATATTTTTTAGTTGGTCAATTCATTTCTTTCTATTTTTGCTAGAGACGGGGTCTCGCTCAGGCTGGTTTCAAACTTCTGACCTCGAGCGATCCGCCTGCCTCGGCCTCCCAGAGTGCTAGGATTACAGGCGTGAGCCACCGCACCCAGCCTATTATCATTTCTTATTGCTTAATCTCCTTAGTGTTACAGGTGAAGGGAAGCGATTTCAAGTGAGGGGTGTCACTATGTGATGTTTTTAATGAAAGAATTTCCATGAAGCTTCTTTATAAGAAGAGGGGGAAATGTGAACAATATTTGCTCAAACTATGGTTCTTTAACCAAGAGAAAAAAGTTAATGTCACCAGGATGTCACATGGATATCACGTACTCCTTTATATAATGTGATGATAAGAGCAATTCCACTCTGTTGTCTTTTTCCTGAAACACCCATTTCTCTTGTCTAATCATGAGGAAAAACTTCCAATTCACACAAATTGAGAGACATTGTACAATATACCGAACTAGTACTCCTCAATACTGTCAAAGTCAAGAAACAAAAACAGAGAAAGACTGACAAACTGTCAGAGATCAATTACTAAAGAGACATATTTAAATATAATGCAGTATCCTGGATTGGCTCCTTGAACGGAAAAAGGACATTAATGGAAAAACTAGTGATATCTGAATAAAGTCAAGAGCTTAGTTAATAGTAATGTACTGGTATTGATTTCTTAGTTTTAACAGATGGACCATGAAAATGTAAGAGGATAACATTAGAGGAAATTAAATTGGGGGACAAGTATACAGGGACTGTCTGTATTATCTTTGTAAGTTTTCTGGAAATCTAAAATTATTTCAAAATTAGGTTTATTTTTTTAAAAAAAGTAAAGTGTTGCATTCTGCCTCTCCTCTGGTATGGCAGAGTAGGGTCTTAACAGACTAACCTCCCTACAAATAACAACTGTAAACTCCAAAAACTACCTGAGGGTTATGGAGAATGAACAAAAGTTGGCAGATTTTGAAGAGGAGTTAAAACTAGGAGGAAAGCACCAGCAGTGGGTGAGTTTCTTGGTATTAGGGCTTCTGTGTGAGGGCAAGAGGCAGGCACATCATGGTGTAGGGCAGCTAAAACTGACAGAAATTCTTAATCTTTCCGGAATGAAGAACCAGAGTATGTAGTCCAGGTCAACCACAGCTATTACAACATGAGGGGGCAAATTTAATAAAAGGACACCTCAGAGAAGGGAAGCTATAAATTCTTTGGGTAGATGCTGCCCAAGTCTCTGCTATATCCCTATATGCCTAAGATAGACTTGCAGCTTAAAGCTAAGACAAAAGAATTGTACTGAACTGCTGCCCAGCACAGGTGATTCGATTTTATAGCTTGAGCTAATCAAGTTAGTTGCTTGTTGAAGCAAAAACATGAATACTCTTTTGCAAATATAGCAATACAGTCTCCAAAACCAAACATTTATAATGTCCAGAGTATAATCTAAAATTTCCTGACATATAAAGAATAAGGAAAGAGAAAAAAGATAAATCAGTAGTGACCTATCCTGAGAGTACCCATATGTTAAATTACTAGAAAAGATTTTTAAAGCAGTTTTCATAAGGATGCATGGTAGATAAAATGAAAATACAATTCAAATTAATAGAAAGATAGGAAATATCAGCAAAGAAGTAGAAAATATTTTACTTGGCCAGACAGAAATTCTAGAATTAAGACTACAATATCTTAAATAAAAGATATTGGTCTTTCCTGCAGATTGGAATAAGCTCAGAGAACCCCAGACAGAATGAGATGGAAAAAATTATACCTGGTCATGTTATAGACAATTACTGTACATCAAAGATAAGAGAGAACTCTTAAAAGCAGACAGAGAAGAACAATGCATTATAAATAAGAGAATGATGATTTGAATTATTGCAGATTTTCATTGCAAAATTTGAAGGTCAGGAGACAGTGGAGCATCTTTAAAGTGTTGAAAGTAACAACTTTCAACCTAGAATACAATAACCAGAAAAAACATTCTTAAAAAATTAAGATGAAGTAGATTTTTTAAAAAAAAAACTATACGAATTTATTGCCAACACACCTATTCTACTATGAAAATGTTAATAGAAGTTGCTCAGGACAAAGTCAATGATATCAGAAGGAAGCTCAGATCTTTAGAAAGATCTAAAGATCTAAAGACCATTGGAAATGGTTTGTTAAGTCTTGGTAAATATTAGGGAACTCTAGGTCATGATCAGTTTAAACTGCCATCAGGCTACAAGCTTAAGAAGCAGTCTCTCCTACCCAGTTACTATAATAACTATTAAAAAAAAAAAAGTAAAAAGCTAATAGGTTTGAAATCTAAGGCTGACAGCTACCATATTGAAGAACTGCCAATTGAGCCCAATTGGGAAAAGAGCAAGCAATAGATATGAACTCTCCATGTCTTACTTCGTGAAACAGGACAGATAGTCATGTCTCAAAAAAGGCCAAAAGGGATTTAATTTCTCTGTCACTACATGTATTCTGATTTACAAATCTAGCATTTTGTTGTTGTTGAGACAGAGTCTCACTCTGTTGCCCAGGCTAGAGTACCATGGTGTCAGCATAGCTCACAGCAACCTCAAACTCCTGAGCTCAAGTGTTTCTCCCGCCTCGAACTCCCAGAGTGTTAGGATTACAGATGTGAGCCATCATGCCCCAGCCCATAAACCTTAGGATTTATATGCACCAGAAAAATAGGTGCTACACCTTAATTTTACAGATAACTGTATGATACAATGAGAACATTTTTCAAAACACACAGAAAGTACTTCATACTGATGATGGTCTATCTACAAGAGTAATCAGAAGAATACTATTTTAAGTTACGTACCTACTGTGAGTCTTAAATTACAAACTCAGGTGTGCCTGTTTATTTAGAGATCAAATTCATACTCCTCTTAATCCTCCATTTTCCCAGGTGGTAGGAAATCAGATGTTCTTTACTCGAACTCTGTTTTCTTAAGGGAGAATCAGAATACAAGAGACTTCTGCGATGCCTCACTGCTGACATCATCTTTTTCTATGCTCAGAGTTGTTTTTGTACCTCCAGAGATGTTCTGCTTCCTTGCCACATGCAGAATGAACATGTTCTTCCTTCCTTGCTGATATAAAAACCTTGGTGCCTGGTACCCAGGCCCTCTAGTTGCTCCTTACACCCATTTCCTCTGGATTCTTTGTTTCCTTAGGACACCTTAACTGAGTGACATGGTTTCCAGCTCACTCTCAAGGATGACAAATTTCTATGCCCTCCATAATTTGAATCTTCCAATGTGCCATGCCCTTTTTCTTTCCTTAATATACACTGCTTTCTCCTCTCCCGAGTATTAGTAGTATGTTTTTTAGTGGGCTTAGGTGTTTATAAAACTCTGAGGTAACCATTGACTTTGGAGCACTTCTGTTTTTAGTCCTGTAAACATGCCTGAGATTAATAAAACTACTAAAGAAATGGAGCCCTGGATTCTAATATAGAACAGGGGGAAAGGGCAAATATAAGGAGATTACACAGATCAATCTCTATAAATTAACCTGACACATTCCATAGTTTGTTTATTATTTAAAGTAATAAAAATATGCTATATATTTAAACAACACCATACAGCAATAAGAATGAATGACCTAGAATTACATGTGGTGATATTTATAAATTTCATAAACATCATGTTAAATGAAAGAAGCCAGACTCAAAATAGTATATACCGTATGATTACATTTACATAAGGTACCCAAACAAGCAAAACAATTCTGTGCCCTTGGAAGTTAGGATAGTGGGAACTACTGGCTGAAAGGAATATCAGGGGACCTTCTAAGGTGATTACCTGTTTTATAATCTGGGTGGTGGTTAGGCATGTGTGTTCAATTTACAAAAATTCTTTAAGAGGTACAGTACAGCTTTGTGGTACAGTACAGCTTTTGTCAATAACTAAGTGTCCTAAAGGGGTAGTTTTCTTTAACTGCTTTGAAAAAGTTAATGGGTCTGAAGAAAATGTCTCATCTATTTTCCACACAGGTTTTTGCTGAATAAATGCAAGATTTAACATAAACCTACAAAATTTGAACCTAGAAAATCTTTTTTAGAAAAGATAGTAAGAAATGAAAGAAGGAAGTTGCATGGTTAGTGGTTAAAAAAAGATGTAAATACGCTTTTTGATGGCCAATCCTGAGAGATTGCGTATGGAGAAAATTGCTGAGCACCAAAGATAGAAACAAATTGCAAATATTTATGAAGTGTATTTTGTTAGAAAAAGACAATAACTAAGTTTTCCAATTTCTTTAAAGAGATTAGAAATATGGTTTTAAAAGCTTGTAAGTGCCATGACTATACAGGAATAAAGTTAATTTTATTTCTAATTTTAATAATTAAATGAGGCCATGACATCAGCAAAAAATATTAATCTATAGCAATTTAGTTGTAAATGGATTGATCTTAATCAGATTATCGTCATTGAGAGTAAGATTTCGATGAACTCATTTACTAAATTATAATTGTGCTCTATATATTTAAAAAAAAAATGTTTCTTTTCCTGACAAGAGTCTGGTTTCTGGGCCAAGGTATTTTTCCATATGCCAAATTTCTCCTTAATCTCTTTAATCTCAATATTAAGCTTACTTCTTAACAGTAAGGCCTTTTATGCTATAAAAACACTCCGAGTTAGATAATTAACCCAGTTTTACAGATGTGGAAACTCCAGGTATTGAATTCCAAATCAAGTACTCTTTCCACAGTAAGAGCTACCACTTACTGGTATAATACCACTTGTAGAAAAACAGTTGAGTAGAAAAGAAGGTCTGTCTTGGGTCCATCAAAGAGAATTTAATAAAACTATAGTTGGCTGTGTAATTTTTCCAAAAGGGTATTTTCACCATGGGATTCTCCAGAACAAAGTTATGCTGAGGTTGCATCTTACATGTGCAACTACGACAATAACAACAGGCTGTTCATATTTTCATCTGGATTGACAATCTTAAATATTTTAGCATACGTAGTGTATGTGATTTCTGTCTTCCATTTTCTTTGAATGCAGTTCTTCGGAAGAAAAGGATACATGGCTGTCTCTCCTTCAGAGGTATTTTTTTCAGTATATATATATATATATTTTTTCTTTTTCTTCTTCTTTATTATTTCAGCATATTATGGGGGTACAAATGTTTAGGTTATGTGTGTTGCCTTGCCCCCCCTCCTGGAGGCAGAGCTTCAAGCATGTCCATCCCCCAGATGGTGCACATCACACTCATTATGTATGTGTATACCCATCCCCTCCTCACCCCCCCCACCTGCCTAACACCCGATAAATGTTATTCCTATATGTGCACTTAAGTATTGATCAGTGAAACCAATTTGCTGGTGAGTACATCTGGTGCTTATTTTTCCATTCTTTGGATACTTCACTTAGTAGAATGGGTCTATCAAGGAAAATACAAGAGGTGCTATATCACCATGGTTTCTTATAGCTGAATAGTACTCCATGACAGTATATGTATTTTATTTTATTTAACCTGCAATAAATGAATTAAAACTTTTTCTGCAGAGGCATGCCCAAGTTATTCCCCTTCTCCTTAGTAGAAATTGTTCATTTGTCCTGAAAATAAGCTGCTGTTTGGATTGTTCACTAGCTGCTACTTGCTATAAATAATGTTCTTTCATTGCATGTATTTCTTAGTTCTAGGAAGGAGAGCTCCAAGGTCTACTTAGATCATTTTATGCAGAAATTGGTCAATAGTATCTTCCATCTCTTTCTGTTTAGAGCTAAGTTTCATCAAAGTATGTGTTAAGCTTCCATAAATGCAGGGTTTTCTAATGAGCACCTCAGAAATCAATTATTGACCCCACCATTGAGCATACAAACTAAAATGATAGACTTAGGCTGTCTACTAGACCCCTAGTCCTTCCCTCCTTCCACTCCTCTCCCCCTCCCCAAGCAATGAGATACCCATGATTTACACTCTACTGGAGAGCTAGATGAGAAGTAAAAGGTCACTGCTTTGGTTTGTCCTTGTAAAGTATTTTATATGCTCCTGTTCTTATCAGCAAGGTACTGGACATGTCCAGAGAAGGCAGGGCAGTGTTAAGGATAAAACATTATCCAGAGGTGCCTTAACCTGCTTGTGCTCCTCAATCCTCACTTGACATGGAGGTACCATTCTTTTTTGTGCCCATGCCTAGTGTCCTGCCGTGTTTTTTAATTTCCTTTCAACCCATAATGTAATCTGGCTTTGCTGAATCTTCTCATCTGTCTTTAAAAATAGCATATAAGTACATTGAAAATATTAGCAAAACTGATAGATTTTAAAAATAAGCCATCAGCAAATTCCATCTGACTCAGTGTTTGCATTTGATTAGACACATCGATCTCGAGAAACAAAAGGACCACCTGAAGAGTATTCCCATCAGAATATTCACCGAGGACATGGGGAATTGTGTACATGTAAGTGTTTGTAAGGAAGAAAACTAAATTCCAAGTCCCTGCATTAAAGCAGAATACCATGGATAAAAAGAGAGACTGACAGGCAGACAGACAGACTGTGTATGTGTTGTGCAAGGTAGGCATTTAGAAATGCCATAGGGGGAAAGTGCATTTTCCTAGGTATATTCATGTCTTTGTACATATGAAAATTAAACCCTAGAGAAAATTAAGCAAGAGAAATTCATATTAACTATAATATTCGACATGTATGCTTAGAAAGAACACTGCTTATTAGATGTCTCTTTTCTCCCGCTGGCATGAATGTTTCTCTGAATCTTGTTACTAGCAGCTGCAGAGACTTGTAGTAAAGCTCTTTCCACAAAGAGGTATTTTCAATTATTATTAAGCATTTTTTCCAAGTTGTCACTTCTTAAGGAAAAAGTGGTTTTGAAAAGTTTATACTTTGAGTTTTTATGGACTGAATTTCTCAAGCTAGTCAGTGGATGATCTGGGAAAGTTGATATTTTTAAGGGATCAGCATTTTCCTGCCTCATAGTTTTATTACATTGGTCACATGAACATTAAGAGTTTAACCCATTTATTAGGTATGATGGATGGATGAATGATATTGTAGCACAAGAGCCATTATGTTATCAATGATGAATAAAATGGAATCTTATGGATATTTTTGTGATACTATGGACTGCCATACTTCACAGCAGCTCTAGTTCACACAGAGTAGTTTTGTTTGTAGAAAAATATATAGTGCAAAATTGTTATGTTTTGACCAAAAGCAAAAGTTATGGAAATATTCTGACAAATACCTGAATGCCAGATAATCATGCTTGAGGGAAATATTCAAATTTTGGTGGTATGAAACAAGAGGGATCTTCTGTAGCAAAGTAGAAAAAAACAACATGAAATGTTATTGTTTCTGCCTGGTTTGATTCTGTTGTTGTGGCAGTTGGTTACATTTAGGATTGTCATGGAAAACCTCCTGAATTTTTTTAACACCTTCATCTCAGTGTATGGAAAGTATGTGCTTGAGAAAGGACTGGTGTCCCACTCTCATTTTGGAAAAAACAAAAGATGTGGTCAGGTTGCCTGCTCTGTTTTTGTCATTACTACCCTGGGTAAGTCAAGGATGATGTGACACTCTCTGTCATTTGCTCTCTGAAGCAGATTTCATGGCTAGAGTCTCTTTCCAGGATCCCTGCTTCCAGAGTTAATCCCCCAAATAAGAGCACGTGTATCAGAAGTATGATCTTCCTCCTTCAGTTCTACACAACCTGTCAGTGAATTCTGCTAATATGCAAGAAAATAGCCATATGCTCAGTTTTGTCTATTTATTTTATTTATTAGCCAAAAAGCACAATTGCTCAAATTCATTTGTTTTGTCTACCAGAACGCATGATGGAAAAATACACTTAATGTAATTTTAACATATGTGCCCAGTACTAAAAAAATCATCATGTTAGAAACTAGGTAATTGGGAGAATAGATTCTTCACTTTACAAAAGACTTCATGAGAGTGTTTCTTTAAATTAAATGCAAGTGTTTTTAAACTTTAAAAAAAAATGCAGAAACCCTTATTGAAATTAAGTCTTAAGTTAAAGCCTGGTATGTAACATACCTCTGACACACTGGTAGAAGACAGACACTGGGCTGGGTGTTCCAAACCCTCCTTTGTTGGCCTCTGAGACAATTTTGCATAATCCCTGTGGCTGTAAGGAGTACAATTTGAAGTTAATGCATTTAGAATACTGTTTTAAAAATTAAAATTCATTTAACAAACCACTTTTAGAGGCAATTTGTCATGCCAAGTAATTGTCTCATAGGGAAGAAATACTATTAACAGAAGGATAAGTGATAAATTTTTAGTGGATTTCACTTAACTTTATTTTTATCTTTTAAAAACTATCATTCATTTCTGCTACTTATTTGTGCATTTTAATCTCTCTTTATCAAGGACATAGCCCTGATAACTGAATTCTTATAATTATCATGTATAAAACTTACATATATAGCAAAAATATTTTTTGATAACATAACATTGTTTTATATTTAAATAATGTCTCTTGGAATTCAGAAACCTATATAGATATCTAAGAATCTTGCTAATTCCTTTTCTGCTTTTTGCAAATTGTCTTTTTAAGTAGCAGTTCTCACTATAGTTTAACAGAGAGCTATTATGGATAGATTATAGAAGATTTTATGGCAGAGTTGGTAATAGAATTGAGCTTTCTGAAATTTTCAGTTCTTTCTTCTAGACTCATTTGTTTTAAATCTAAAGATTTCAACAATGAAAATCTTAGTAGCTACAGTGTCTGACATGTAGAAAGTACTCAATAAATAGGTGTTTTTAAACATTCTAAGCTTTAAATGTTTATTATAACCAATTATTATTCAGATTTTACCTAAACTGACTTTATACCATGCAAAGAAATAAAACCCTGTACTGTGAAAACAAAACTGGGGGGAAAAATAGAGATTCAACTTCTCCCTTCTTTTATTACACATTACATTGTGCAGATACAATTATTGAAATGAGGCAATTGACCAGTCTCAGTGATTCTTCTTTTGTTTTTTTGCTTGATTGGGAGCTAGACCCCTGTACTCTCTCTCTCTCTCTCTGAAATATATTTAATATACTTCCTACTTGCTTAATCTCTTATATACTGTGGCCCACACATCTTTAATTTAAAAGAATTTTTTATTAAAAGGCATAATTTATAAGGGAATAAATGTAAATTATAAGTACTTGTGTTCTACTTAAGTCTTGTGATATACTTTCTGTAAGAAATTAAGATGTATCTTTGGATAATCATTTGATGATAATTATTTCTTCATCTGATTTAAAAATCTTTATTTATAACTGTATTTCTTATTTCTTTTTTTCCTACAGTATAAAACAATCAAAGTAAAGAACACAGACAGAGCAAGTGAAGTAATCCACAAGTTATTGTCAGTGCTAGGGGTAACTATAAGTTATTCTGCTAGATAATCTTAATTAAAAACAAGCAATGATACTTTAAATCCATGGAAATATTATCCCTTTCATCATAAGACAGCTTACTATTAGAGATACCAGTCATATTTTGTTCCCCCAAATCTAGAAATTAAGGATAAGCTTTAATGTTAGCTTAATATAGGGGTGATGTTCTTCTACTCTTATTTTAAAACCTATGTTAACTGAAAACCATTATGAGCTTGGACTATAAATTTAAAGTATAATTGTATTTTTATTGTATATACTACATACCGATACAAAACATGTTTTTGTATAAGATTCTTAATAAGAAAGTTTCAACCTCCTCTTTCCTTCCTATGTGACACTATTTGACTTCTCCTCCCCACCTAAATATCCTGTTATTATCCCAAGACCCAATCAGTCTGAGAATGATCAATTCTCAAGGATATTCTTGGTAGTAGAATTTTTACATAAAGTCACATTGGCTGGCTACAGGTCCTGAGAATGGCATGGCTAGGACCTCTAATGAACTCGTAAATAAAAAGACAAGCTTTGAATTAGATCATGGATTTGAAGAGCTTTAGTGTGAAAACCACAGTCTTCCCTGTTTTGCTTTTAGCTTCTGTCCTTTTCTGTTTTCTGTGATAGAGGTGAGTTTTGTTGAAATTTTACTAGTGGAGGAGATTGGAATGTTTGAGGATGAGGTAGAGGAGACAGAACTGGAAGATTCTTGTCATTACTTCCTTACCAGTTATATAAACACATATAATGAGTATTTTTATTAAAGGAAGTGACTTTCAGAAGGATGGAAACTAAGGGAAGCACTTTAAAAATACTATTCCTTGAATGAGATTCTCTATAAATATTAAAGTACACTATTAGTATTATGTGCCATGATACATATTTAAGACATGCCATAATATTACTGTCTTTAGATTTGCTTATACACAGTGCTGTAGTGAGCCCTTAACATACAGCAACTAAAATTTCAAATAAGAAATCCAATTTCTTTTGAATTTAGTAACATGTCAAATGTAATTAGGTGTATATACACTGAATAAAGCAGGCATGTCTGTATTGATTTCTAACCTATATGTGCATATTTTGGAAGAGAGTGATAGTAGTTTTAGGGGTAGAAAGGGAGATTAATGACATGATTCATTTTCTTATCTATGCTTTTCCTTTGGATAAAATGATCAAGCTACCCAAACCGCCCCCCTCAAAAAATTGTATTAATTAGTAATTGAGGCTTTTGGTTATACCTGTTCTAAGGGATTATGATAGTTTCAGATAATACATAAAAACAAAAGATTTTTATTAGGTTACTCTTCCTATTTACCATAAAAATTTTGGCTAGGGGATAGGGCAACAATAAAGTGACAAACTGTTTGGGAGGGGGTCAGGGGGAGTGGTTTGTGTGGTATTCTTCATAGCCAGGACCCTCCATTGTAATCATGGCAGGGCCATGATTTTTAATTAGAAGTTAAAGGCAAGGCTATGAAATATTGCCAATAAATTTATCTGTTCTAGCTTCATTTAAAAGATTTTTGTTTGACTCTCCTAGGGGATTCAGCAAAATCTGTATAATTTAGTGTTAAATCTTTCAAATGGGATGTAGAGTGTCGCTAAGTTATAATTCTGCTAGTGAACAGTTTTATTGTTGTCCCTCACTGGGCCTATTCTCTAGATAGAATTCTTGTCCTTTCTGTCCCCAGGACTGGACTTACCCAAACTAAAGCCAATGCAAACTGTGCCAGCTACCTATCTCCTCAAAGCCTCTTGGTCATTCTTCTGCTCAGAAGCAGCTGAGCTAATAATCAGCCTTTGACATTTGCCTTTTTAGTCACAGACACAGCAGTATTTGTGGCTTCCTGCATAAGAAGGTTGTCTTTACACAGGGATATGTTGGAAGTTAAGTCCAATATTCTCTGAGAAGTCTGGAGATAAAACAGAAGTCTGGACTCTAAAGAATAAATTAGCCTTTTAGAAACAGGGAGTTTGTTCTTACTTTGTAAAAGAGCCTATGATTTCACATTCCATGGGCTACCTATCTAGTAAGGGCTGATTCCATTGCAGTTTATAGATCCGTAGATATCACTGCAAGGAAAAAGGCAGGATTCCTCAGTCCCACATTGAGTAATGGGGAAAGGGAGATTGGTTGCAGGAATCAGCACTTCCATCTTCAAAAACCATAACTACCCTGATGAACCTGATTAGTTAGCATTTATATTCTCTAGGAGTTTCCTTTTGCAAAGCATAAAAATGCCAAAAATATGTCCTTATTCAAACACCAACTATGAAAGATTTATTGTGACCTTTAATCCTTTTATCTCCAAGGGCTGTGAGGGAGATTACCAGTTATGCATCAATTCTGGGAAAGAAGAAGCAGTGTACCCGCTAATTGGTAAAGTTTTGCAAAAATTGAAGTAGCTTTGATTATGTTTTGATTATAATTCTAAGTGTCTCAGAGAATTGGTCATATCATCCTAAGCTTAACTACTATTAAATAATCTCATGATATTCATTTAATAAATATATATCAAGCATTTACTATGTGCTAGGCAAATAATATCTCTGAATTCAAGCAGTTCATGGGATAGCAGAGAGGAGAAATGAAAATTTCCCTCTCTGCCTTGTCAATTTACCAACAGACCTATCTTGCCAAACTTAAAAAAAAATTTTCTGTAAGAAAGCAATATGCATTGGTATTCATTTTTCCTATTTTTCAGATTCCCTTTATACCTTTAGTTTTCATATTCAGTTCTTGAATTTCCTACTCCCTTTCCTAACTACATGTTGCCTCTATGGAAGACAGTCTCTAATCCAGTCATGCATGTTAATCCACCAATGAGCATGCAACACCCACTCTGTGCCCAAATGTGCCTAAATTTAGGCATCATAAAGGAAGTGAGATTAACCCATTTGCTACTTCTCTAGTCAAATTTCCAGCATTTGTTTTGAGGAATTATTGGTAAATAGGTTACATCTTACCTTATTTAAATAATTTATCTAAAAAAATGTATTTGTTGATCAGTATTTTATTCAGTGTGGTTAACAGAAATAGAACAATTACAATAAGGGCAAGTATCTGTAGCAAAACTTGAGATGATGACAACGGTAATGATGATGGTGATGATGATTTCTGTTAACAATCTTAAATGATTACTACCTGCCAGAGATTGTACAGAGCATATTGTATGCATTATCTCATATAATCCTTTCATTTATCTATGAGGTCCTACTGTGAAATTTAGAGTGTTTCAAATGATCTGAGAAATCTAAAACCAAACTTTTCTACAAAATGTATATGCTCTGACTTAGAATATAGAAATATACTTAGTATATGCACAGAACTGAGGACAAAATCAACACCATTTCAGGTTTTTTTTAATGTCACTTTTGTAAAAGCCAATGAGCAACTAAGTCATAATTAAAAATTAAATACTTAGCATAACCATTTCAATAAAATATATTAACTTAATTAAACCTAGGTGGATGGTAATTTTTAGGCTTAAAACAGCTCCAAGCTTCAAATTACCTCTCACTAAAAAACAATGGGTCATGATTGTTCCATGAATTAGCAGCAGTTCTTAATTATACATTGTCATTTTAATGTGCCTTGAAAGCTTCAGTTGTAGATCACCAGCTGGCTATGTTGATAAATAGATTTTGTTATATTGCTATTAAAATTAGAAGCCTTTTTTGGCCCTAATCCCTGGATGTTGCTGTAGTAATTGATATTAATGGAATATTCACATTGTATGCCTATGCCAGGTGGAAAACAAGAGTAAAAGTTCACTGAATTACACTCAGTAATAAATCAGAAATAGAAATTATTCATTGTACTTAAAAATATCTATAGCATAATGGTATTTGAGGATTACTCTGAGAAGATGCAGTTATTTAGAATATTAAAGAGCAAAAATCTCATTGCAGCCAGGTGTCCAGGGGTTGGTTTTTCTAGTTTGTAAATTTCTTTTTGCATCTGTTTCTGTGCTTCTGATGCCCTGTTGTCTTCCTTCTGATTATTGTCTATGAACACTGCCCTTAGAGGGTAGCAGTAGGAGGGAAGCATAAATCAGATAAGCCCCAATGCTTGTCTTCAGTAACTCTAATTATGTGACTCATAAAAACTAATGAAATGTCTTTTCAGACAGACACCATGTGGTAGATAGTGGAAATGACAGCAATTCTTGACACATGTTCCTATTATTTAAATAATGTTAGCCACTAATATTTACTTATTGATCCTTATAATATTTGTGTGATAGGTTGGATAATTGTTTTAGTCATAGATTTGAGGCTGAGTGAGGATATAGATTTGCTTAAGATTTATAGATCTAGTTAATGTCATGGAAAAAACTAGAATACCTTTAAATATTCTTAGATGCAAACAGGAGGAGTCAACATTATGCAACTCACAGACTGATCTGTGCATTCATTACAAGCGAGATAGTCTTTAAAGGTTTTTGTGGGGTTTTTTCTCCCCACCCCCTCTTAAAACTATGTTGGTAGGAGCACACCTCTATTATGCAGGGGTCTCAAACTGTAAGCATGTACATGATTATTCAGTCAACAAATGGGTTCTTTATACCAAAAGTGCCAGGAGTAAATTGTAGTGTATCCTGTTTGTAGCACACATGGTCACAGCACCAGTCAGTCTAAGGTCTACATTTAGATTTTTTTATGTAGGACATGAATATCCCTATGGGATTAAAATGAAGCATCTGCGAGACAATGCACTCCTAAAAGCAGGCTCAAAGGACTCTACCACCATTTTCAACTCCCAAGAGGCCTTCCTGATGGAAGAGCTGCCAGGAGAGAGGCAGTGCCGATTCATCTTAAAGCCCAGAGTCCTGGCTGCAGCCCAGCAATTGAGAGGTGAGTTGCTTTTCCTTCTTCATAGAATCTTCTTTCAGCAAAGTGTTCATTTCTGAACATAAATTTAGGAAGAAAGGCAAAGACTCAGACTTCCAGCCAGATAAGGCATATTTTTTTAGACTTTGCTACGTGTTTTGAAAGGAAAGATGAGGTTTTAGAAGAAGATTTTTTATAAATTAGCAATAGGCATGACTGGTTTATAAACAGCAAGCTAATAGCAATACACTCTGTCCCTTCTTTCCTCACCATTCTGTTCCCTTTAACCTTCTGCCTACTGCAGAGTCAAAGGCACCAGGCAATGCTGCAGGTGCCTCTAAGGTGATTTCTGTGGAAGTCTCTTCTTAGCCTACTAATCGAATATGAATTTACTGTGAACATAAAAAAGACTCTGGAATGCTAAAAGTGATGTACAACATAGTAGCATCATAATTTGTCCTAACCTAAATTTGAGATTTAAGCTTTCAGTCTGAAAGTCAGATTGTATAGGAAACAGAAGAAAATAGATACTGAAAAGTATGAGTGGGATAGTAGAAAACTGATGCTGAATTTCTGCAGCTGCCTTTGTCAATTTGACCTAACTGGGCCTTTGGCTTTTAGCATATCATTTCCTTGCAGATTAATCACTAGCAACTAATGGATGGGTAAAAGCTCATCAATCGCATAGTGCAATGGATCTTAAGATATGTAAATCTCCTTCCTATTGCATTGAGGTTGGGAAAACACTGCTGGAATTGTAGTTTGAATTCAGAAAATATATCTTCTATAAATTTGTATAGGAATTAAGATCTTTCTTTTTTCACTTTTATTCTATTTTATTTTACTTTATGTTTTTTAATTTCAGCATATTACTGGGGTACAGAGGTTGAGGTAACATATATTGCCTTTGCCCTGCCTGAGTCAGATCTTCAAGCATGTCCATCCCCCAGACCAGTGCGTATCACACCAGTTAGGTGTGAATATACCCATCGCCTTCTCCCCTCTCCCACGTGCCCTATACCTGATGAATGTTACTACCATATGTACACATGAGTGTTGATCAATTAATACCAATGTGATGGTGAGTACATGTGGTGCTTGTTTTTCCATTCTTGTGATACTTCACATAGTAGAAAGGGCTGCAGCTCCATCCAGGATAATAACAAGAGGAGCTAGATCACCGTTGTTTTTTGTGGCTGAGTAGTACTCCATGGTATGCATATACCACATTTTATTAATCCACTCATGTATTGATGTTGCTTACACATCTTTGCAATTGTGAACTGTGCTGGTATAAACATTCTAGTGCCGGTGTCTTTTTTAGAGAAAAAACATAAGATGCTGCAGTATCATGATACACATGGCACTTGAATCACTTTCAAAATATTACAGGGTCACTACAATTTATAGTGCCTTAAGCAGCAGTGTAAACAACGAGAGTGCCACATACTGTCTCTGTCACAGCTTCTTATTTCTATAATTCAGTGTGAAGAGAAAGCAGCCACGAGCAGTACCTAAAGGACTGCCTGTGACTGTGCTCCAGTGAAACTATTCTGGGCAGTAAAATTTGAATTTCATATAATTTTTACATGTCACTAAATACTATTTTGATTTTTCAACCTTTTTAAAAATGTGAAAATCATTCTTTTTTTTTTTTTTAGACAGAGTCTCACTTTGTTGCCCAGGCTAGAGTGAGTGCTATGGCGTCAGCCTAGCTCACAGCAACCTCAAACTCCTAGGCTCAAGCAATCCTCCTGCCTCAGCCTCCCAAGTAGCTGGGACTACAGACATATGCCACCATGCCCGGCTAATTTTTTCTATATACATTAGTTGGCCAATTAATTTCTTTCTATTTGTAGTAGAGATGGGGTCTCGCTCTTGCTCAGGCTGGTTTCGAACTCCTTACCTGGAGCAATCCTCCCGCCTCAGCCTCCCAGAGTACTAGGATTACAGGTGTGAGCTACCACACCCAGCCTGAAAATCATTCTTAACTCACTGGTTATCCAAAGTGGTGGCAGGCCAGATTTGGCCCAGGGAGCATGGTTTGCTGCCCTCTTTAAATGATTAGAATGCACAGCTAATTAAAAGCATTGCAGCTAAAGTATCAATGCTCTACCAGATTTATAACAGAGTTCACACGAGTAACAGAACCATCTCATTTGACTTGTGTGCATTCCCTTTGCATGGTGCATCTTTGTAGTGCTTTGATTAGAGGAAGAAAAGCCAAAAGGCATCTAGAGACTCTAAAGAACTACAAGAGTCTAGGAATTCTAAAAATGGAATTGTCTCCTAAATGATGACACTCTTCATAATATCATCAAGTAATTTCTACATAGAATTTAACACTTTAAATAATACTTTCTTTCAAGCCTCAAAACATTCATGTAAGTTTTGCATTATCATCTCATTTTACAGATTAGCAGTGTCAGACTGTATCTGGCATCACAAAGCATATTATAAATGTCAGTACAACATAGGCCTTCTAACTTTAAATCTCTGCTCTTGTCACTAGATCTAACTGCCCTATTATGTGGACACGTTAGCACTAACTGCCTTCAGACACCAGTTATGTAGTTATTATTTGGCTTGCTCTCCACATTCCTACTACTTCTGTTACTCCCCTTGATCTTTTAATTTGAAGGCAGCAGACCACTGTGGAGATTGTTCTCAATATTCTTGTAGCCTATTGTGTGACCATGTGAATATAAAAATGCCATGGTATAAAGTCCACAATTTTGTCACCTTTCCCACCTGCTGTGCACCAAAGCATTCCTAACACAAATCAAAATTAAGAGAGAGACCCCTTATAAGGAAATCAGTATAAGAACAAGTCTCTTCACTCTTTTCCCCCTACCCTTGTTGCATACATAACAATATTAACCTGACTTCTAAAAGGGAAAAATGAGTTAATACTTCTTTTTCTTCATATACTAAGAATGTATAATTTGATCCTGTTTACTAAGTGCCACTTGTCAGAGTCTATCACACTTTGTTTGTGGCCTACATATTTTAAGTCTAGGGCTGGGCACAGTGGCTCACACCTGTAATCATAACACTTTGGGAGGCTGAAGCAGGAGGATCTCTTAGGTCCAGGAGTGCAAAACCAGCCTGGGCAACATAGCAAAACCCTGTATCTTCAAAAATATTTTAACAGAAACAAAATAAACTCATCAGAATTCAGAAATTCTTAAATTACTCCTAGGAAGGTATATATTTGCAATGTTTCCCTGTGTACAAAATCATATCTTGTTTCCAGTGTTAGCAGGAACATAAAAGAGGGAGACAATTTGTATTAGTGTATTGGCTGAGAACAATAGATAATCTCTATTAAAGTATTGGCTGAGAACAATTAATATTTTATTTTGAAACCACCTGAATAAGATAAACCACAATTAGACAGTCAAAACTCTATATATCTGTTTCTTAGAGATGCTTTCTCTAGTTAGCTTAAGGAAATTATCCTTGCGAACCATCATAACCATAGGTAAGCATAGGCATCCCCAAACTGTTTTTGAAATTTCTGCCTCAGTGTGGAGAAGACATCCTACTAAATAGTCTTACAGTGAAAACAGAATAACAATAGGCCACCCCTGAGACTTAGATCACCATAACTAATGCTAGCGGGTGATTAGTCCAGAGTGAAGACAGCTCTAGTGTAAATTGGGAGTACAAGATTTAAATGTTCAAAGATGTGACCTCAAGGCCCAACTCACATGTCACTTCTATGAAATCTTTGTTCCTTCAGGCAGTTTGTCAGAGCACTTTACACATATGTATAGTATAATATGTAAAAAATTGTGTTTATTTCTTTATATATTTACATGTATCTTTAGACTATGAACTTCTTAAGGGCTGGGAACTAATCCCAGAGCTCAGTCCAGTATGTAGAACAAATCAGAAGTTAAATGAAAGATTGAATGACATAGTCACCCCTAGAATGAAAGGGGAAGAGTTCTAGACTTAAGTGGGATCTTTCTGAGCATGATTTGAAGTAGTGTTTGGAGTTCCAGCCTGAACTGAACTTTTATGGTAGATAGTAAAATATCAGAAGCATTGTTTTCTTTTTTATTATGATGATGATATTTTTTTCCTTTATTATTTCAAAATATTACAGGTAAACAATATTTTTGATCACAGGGATAGATTTTGTGATGATTGAATCAGGCATATGAGTGTGGTCATCACCCTGATAGGTTTTATTGTACCCACTGGGTAGGTTTTCACCCATCCCTCCTCCCCCTCCACCCTGCTTGATTTCCACTGAGTTTTACTTCCCTCTGTGCACATGTGTGCTCATTGGTTAGTTCCAATTTGATAGTAAGTACATATAAGGTTTATTTTTCTATTTTTGAGATACTTCACTTAGGATAATGGTCATCAGTTCCATCCAAATTATTGCACAAGGCATTAATTGATTTTTCCTAATGGCTGGGTAGTATCCCATGGTATACATACACCACATTTTGTTAATTCACTCATGACTGGATGGGCACTTGGGTTGATTCCACATCTTTGAATTGTGCTGCAATATATATTCAAGCGCAAGTGTGTTTTTGGTAAAATGACTTCTCCTTTGAGTAAATGCCCAGTAGTGGGACTTCTGGACCAAATGGCAGGTCTACTTTTAGTTCTTTGAGGAATCATACTGTTTTAATTTGCCACCAACAGTGTATAAGTGTTCCTTTCTCTCTGCATCCATGCCAGCGTCTCTTGTTTTTGTCCTTTTTAATAAAAGCCATTCCAACAGGGTTAAGGTGATGTCATTGTGGTTTAGATTTGCATTTCCCTGATGATTAGTGATATTCAGAACTCTTTCATATATTTATTGGACATTTGTCTATCTTGTTTTGAAAGGCTTCTGTTCATGTCTTTTGCCCATTTCTTAATGGGGTTGTTTTTTCTTGCTGATTTGCTTGAGGTTTTTGTAGATTCTGGTTATTTTCCCTTTATCTGATGTATAGCTTGCTGATATTTTCTCCCATTCTATAGGTTGTCTATTTGCTTTGTTGATTATTTCCTTAGCTGTGCAGAAACCTTTTAATTTAACCAAGTTACATTTATGTATTTGCGTTGTTGCTGCAATTGCCATTTGGGTCTTAAATTCTTTGCCTAGGCTGATGTCCAAAAGAGGTTTTCCTATATTTTCTTCCACAATTCTTATATGATTTCCAGTCTTACATTTAAGGCTTTTATCAATCTTGAATTAATTTTTGAGTGGTGAGAGATATGGATCACGTTTGATTGTTCTGCATGTGACTATCCAATTTTCCCAGCACCATTTACAGAATAGGGATTCTTATCCCCAGTACCTATTGTTGTCTGCTTTGTCAAAGAGCAATTGTTTGTATATGGATGGTCCTAGCTGGGACAATCAGGCAAGAGAAAGAAATAAAGGGTATCCAAATTGGGAAAGAGGAAGTCAAACTATTGCTTTTTGCTGACAATATAATCTTTTATCTACAAAAGCCAAAAAACTTCACCAAGAGTCTTCTGGAATAAACAAATTCAGCAAAGTTTCATGTTACAAAATAAATGTACACAAATCAGTAGCATTCTTATACACCAATAAGATTCAAGCTGAGACTCAAATCAAAGACTCAGTAACATTCACAATAGCTACAAAAAATAAAAATAAAATTCACAATAGCTACAAAAAATACTCCTGAATAAAATAAAATTCAGGAATATACCTGAATAAGGAGGTGATGAAAGATGTCTACAAAGAAATCAGTGAAACACTGAGGAAAGAAATCACAGATGACACAAATGGAAAAATATATTATGCTCATGGATTGATACAATCAACATTGTTAAAATAACCATACTGCCCAAAGTGATGTATAGATTCAATGTAATTTCCATCTACATGTGAAAAATCATATTTCACAGATTGAGAAAAAATCATTCTATGGTTTGTCTGGAACAAGAAAAGAGCTGGAATAGCCAAAGCAGTCTTACATTATCAGAACAAATTTGGAGGCATCAAATTAGCAGACTTCAAATATGCTACAAGGCTGTACTAACCAAAACAGCATCATGTTGGTACAAAAGTGGAGACATAGACTGATGGAATAGGACAGAGAATTCAGATATAAAACCATCTTTTTCTTGTACCTGTTTTTCCTGTCATTCCAGTTTTCTCCTCTACATGTTTCCTACTCTAACTACAGAAGAGGCATTCTTACTTTGGGGAGATATGTGGCCAGAATAGAATTTCTAATTAAAGCTTTTTGTTTTTATGATTATTACTATATAAGTACAAAGTCTGAAAAATTGTACTCTTTAATATTCACTTTCATTACTTAAGCATGAAGGAAACACTAGTCTGAATTATATCAGAGTTATTCAGGAAATCCAGATTTACATTAATTTAGTTAGCTTTACATTTAAATCACTCATTTTTTATAGTACTAGCATGTTTTTCATCAGCTTTTGACATTAGAAATTAAGAGCTATGCATGAAAGTAAACAGTAATGACTGCTTTTCTCAGTCCCAGAGTAAAAGTGAACTCTCAGATTGAATGCTATATATAACAAAAGACATGGCTACCACTGAAAGTATTTATGATAAAGTAAAAGACTCGATTTCTACTTTATCCTCTGTCAACACTCATACCATAGCTACTATAGAATTTATTGATAGAGCATCCCTTTGAAGAAATGAATGAAACCTTAAAAAATAAATAAATTTTGATAGTTGTAGAAATAATAAAATTAGGTCAAATGTGAGTAAACAAGACTGAGTATAGCTACTTAACCTACATATTAATGTATACATCAATGTAGATTAATTAATGTAATTAATTACATGTACACATTAATGTACATTAATTAACATACATATTAATGTACACATTTGCACAGATTGACTTTGCTAGACATGTAGGAACCCCTTCTTGGATTTAAGACAGGGTTTAGTTTTCTGTTTTTTTACAATGGCAGAGGTTGGGAATGTTAGGGCAGGAAGAAAGTGCTTGAGTTAAGCAGACTATTGCTGTTCCTTCATGTCTGCAGACCTCTTAATGGGGGTGACACCAATGGAGAGTGGATGCAGAGAGGAGGCCCTGTTTGTGAGGAGGAGATTGGTATCTAGGCATCTTTAATCAAGATTGCTGTGACCTATGCCCTGGGCTCACTAGTAGTTTTCACACGTTTTCCTACATAATTCTCTCAGTAAACCTCTGAAAAAGAAATATTTTTTTTTTTTATTTTAAAGACAAGGAAGAGGGTAAGTAACTTGCCCAAGTAAGTATCCTAAACAGGAGTCTACCGGACTACTGTCCCCAGAGCCAAACACCATTACACACCTGAGTGTGTCTGGAAGAGCATGTACGTGATGACGTACTTACTATATCCCAGGAAGTGAGGCACAGGTGATGGTTTAAGGCCATTTGGTAAAATGTTGCTTACTTGCTTATCCTCCCACAACTTGGCCTTTTTAATATTTGCTTTAAGTAGGGTATTCTGAGGAAATAAAATGCTAAGATATGTTATACTCAAACAATATGGAAGCCTTCTTTGAAAGTAGCCTTTGACACCACTGACTGTGTGTCCTCCTTGAAAAGCTGCTCTTGTGCAATGTTTCATTATCAGGGAATTCTGGGAGCTAAACATCATCTCTAGGTAGCTTTGTTGGGCATCTCAAGGAACAATGCCACACAACCAGAATTTAATGACTAATTCCCATGCCCTCTCACTGCAGAAAATCATGTCCAACCACGAGTGGGCACTACCTGGTCATTATAGCTCCTCAAATCCTGGTTGCATTAACCTTAATTGCAGGCTCTTTGGAATCTGCCCCACAAATGCAAGCTTCAGGGGTCAGCCAGAGATTTGGGCAGAATGTACACGCTATTTGCGGTTCCCACTATTAGGTTTTCTCCCTTCTCTGATTCCCCCTCACTTTTCAGCTGCTGTGGGTACCTCTATCTTGGTTCTCTAGTTGTTCAAGCCAGCAAGAGTACAAGTTTCTCTCTGAATTTCAGTCACTCCCTGCCACCTGCCTTCAGGCTAAATGCTCTAAGAATGAGAAACTCAACCAGTGCTCTGCCATTCCCTTCCTACATGTGTCAAACTTATACCTCCACTTCTACCTTGTTTGGGTTGCTCTTCAGTGCCTTCTAGTAGGTTACTTTTGGTTTGTTTCTGCAGAGTGCACAGTTGTTACCTGTGTGTATGTGCTTCAGGGAAGAGGCAGGGGTCATCCACTTTTAGAATTGGAACCTCAAAGAGCTTTTATGTGTCAAAACTTGTGCTCTTAACTCTCAAATCTCCTAACTCTCATGTTAAAATTAGACACAGATGATACCAAAAACATTCTTACACTACGGTGTCATAATAGTATAACTTACTACTGATGTTTTTTACTTCTGCCTATTCTGTTCATGCTGTCTTTTTCTACTAAAATCCCTTCACATTTTCAATTGTAGTTCAATAGTGATTTATTGTAGACACTATGCTCTATCTGTTGAACTCTTATTCATTCCAAATACAAATCAAATGCCATTGCCTCCAAGATCACGCCCCTCCCTACTGCTGGATAGATGTGATTTACTTTCCTCTGAATGCCTTCAGTACTTTTTTCCTCCCTTATGGCATTCTATTCCTTACTATGCTTGCTTTCATCCCCACCATGAGAGGTCTCATTTCTATTATATTATAAACTACATTTGCAAGGGCAAGTCTCACTCATGTTTGCGTCCATCCATGCTACCTTAAACATGCTTTTTAAAGTCAGGAACTGAAAAGAAACATGAAGGTGTTTGCATTAGGAAGGCAAAAAAAAATTGTAGGCTATAAGCTTCCTATCTCTATTCCCAATAGTAGAGTGGGACATCAGGTAATAAAATATTGTTTATTTCTAGGGAACATTTTAATGGAGATAAATTCTCTCCTCCTTCCTCTTCTTCTGCCTCTTTCTCTTCATCCTCTTTCCGTTCATCTTGTCCTTCTCTTTCTCCTACTTCCCCTGCCCCTTCATCTTGCCCTCCCATCCTCTCTTCTCTGTTTTTCTCACTATTTAATTATGATCAAATTCTAACTTTTTTGTATGCATATTTGTATCTTTAAATGGGAAAATATGTGTGTTGGTATGCAACACTTTTTTGCTTGAAGTTGTGACTGTTAAAAAGGAAGCCTTTCTTTCACCTTTAAAATTTTACTACCAAAACTCAAGTAAACAGATCAATGATGTCCCAAAAATAGATGGGAGAACTCAAATATTTGATTTTTCCTTTATTGAGCCTCTTTCCTTTATAAAATATTATCATGAAATGTAGTTTAAATTCTCAATAACAAAAGACATCTATAAATATTTTTTTCTCTATGAGGCATTGTAAGAAAAATACTGTAAAATAGAAATTGTAGAAATAAGGTGAAAATGAATTAAATTAATTTTGCTAATATTTCAAACTCCTTTGTTAGATTCACATCAGAAGACATCTCAAAAGAGAAGATGTATCATCAATTTGGCCTGTTGTTGGGGTTCTAGCACTGACCAGGACAACTCCCTTGTGTCACTGCCAGTATCTCCTCCTGTGGCAGGAGAGCTCCTTGGACTTTCTTTGGAAAATACCTCTGAGAAGGACACACATGAGGTTGTTGATGCCCCATGTGTCAATACAGGAAAGACAGTTGGCCAGGGAAGCACAAACATGGCCTCTGTTTTAAAGTTCACTGATGACATCCTCAAGCAGCCTGAGGTGCAAGATGTTTTAAACAAAAACGACTGTGACTTGGAGCAGTGTACTGAAGAAGGAGCTCAAATAGAACATCCACTTGAGTCCAAACTTTTTGGAGTTTCTCTGAAAAATATTTGTAAAAATGACTATCTGCCGAAACCTATCATGGTAAGGCTTATTTTGTCCTCTAAACTAATGGGAAAGGGGATGTGGGAAGGGAGAGCTCTGGGAGATAGATCTGTCCCCAAATGGAAAAACTGTAGACACCACTGGTTACTTGAAAGTGTAAAAATATGACATAGTATTACAGAATGAGAGGAAGACATAGTAAGAAGAGATAATCTAGTCTACTGATTACACGGAAGAGCCACATAAGCCTGCTCAGATAAATTAGGGTTTTCTCTGTAGACAGAGAATTTTCATTATCCCTCAGAAATCCTGTCTTGAATTCCACTTTGTTCTGAAAGTTTTCTTTTATCACTTTAGTATCAGAAACTACTGACTCTTATATTTAAGTTTTAGGAATTATTTTATTTATAGTTAATATGTTTAAGCATAAAGATACAGTCTCTGGTATTTATTCTTCTTTTGCATATACAGTGGGTCAGATCAAAGCCACTGAGTTTACATTCTCTACAATTGATATATTAATCACTTCTAAGCAGAATTTATTGAGTATCCTTTAAGAACTATGGTACATGTATGGGATTTCATCCTATGTCATGCACCTCTAAGTGCCAGACACTAAGCCAGCCATTGTTGGTTAGCCTTCACAAGAAATTTCAGGAGTAGTTAATATCACATCATCATCATTTGACAAATTTTTAGAAGCCTCAGAACTTTATTCAAGGTTACAAAGTAAATATGTAGCATAACTAGGTTTCAAATCCCAGGGATTGCATGTCTCCAAAACCCATCCTCTTTATACTGCAAGCAGAGGATGTAAAAACAGGAAAAAAAAAAAAAATTAGAAACCATTTAAAATACTCCATTAGCAACTTTTAAGAATACAGGGCATTGTTGTCAACTGTAGTTTCCTTGGTATATAGATCACCTCAACTTAATTCTCCTGTCTAACTGAAATTTTATATCCTTTCACCAAAATCTCCCCACCCCAACCACCACCTCTACACCTTGGGAACCACTCTTCTGCTCTCCATAAAAATTGATTAATCTTTGTAGCCATCCATCCAGCTCCAATCCTTCAGCTGTTCTACGCTAGCAACATCCTAGCCTCTGGCAGCCAAAGAAGGCAAGTACATGTCCCCTTGTTTATATGTGTCAAGTGCCATTTTGGTTTTTGTTCTTTGCTTTCCCATAGGATACTCTTTTGTTCCTGAATGAAAAAGGCCCTCTGAAGGAAGGCATCTTCTTTGTACCGGCCAACACGGAATATTGCCGACAACTAAAAGAAAAACTTAATTGTGGAGTACCAGTACAGCTGTACCGGGAAAATGCCTTTGTTCTGGCATCTATCTTAATGGTAGGAAAAGTTCTTCTTTTATACACAGCATGTGTAGCTCTCAAGATAAATTTTTTAATTGTGAGCATTATTTCTGTCTACAATGACCTATAATAGATTTAGAATTGAAATAGTGTTAAGAAACATTTCGCAAATCAACATTGGACTTTAAAAGCCACCACCGCTGATATCACATATCAGATAGGCTTTTTAAATAGTTTTTCTCCCGCAGGCTAATCTCTTCACTTCTGAAACCCCATGTAAAAGATAAAGTTTAATTAACATTTAATCAAAGCACACGCTCAAAGATTTTACCAAAACAAACCTTCTGCTTATGATGATTTCCTCACTGTCTCACTACCTTCTGAATGAAGGCAAAGTTTTCAAAAACAAACATTTATTAAACTTTTGAAAATAATTACAGAAGTTTATTATAGTGATTCGGAAAATGTCGGGTACCAGGACACAGCCACTTGCTGCCTCCCTGTAGCTCCACATCTCTGCGGGCCAGTGCTGCACGTGGCCAGTTGGAGGGCACGCTGCTGGGGCCGCCACCCCCCCAGAGCTGCCTGGGACCCTGACTGCCGGAATGCCCCCAGGCCCACATGCCGCTGCCTGTTACTGGCCACGCTGCTTGCGTGATCCTGATTGGGTAATTTTTGAATCCCACTGTTTTTGATTGGATGTTAAAGCTTGTTGGTGATTGGATGTTAAAGCTTGATGTTGATTGGATGTTTAAAGCTTGTAGTTGATTGGACGCTTTTTGAGCCCTACCAAGGGTATAAAAGGAGGAACAGAAGGAGCGGAAGGGTCAGAAGATTGGAAGATGCAAAGAGAGCTGTAACACTAGGTGTGCTGAGCCTGCTGGGAAGTAATAAAGACTGTTCTCCCACTCTTCATGTGCCACTCCATTCTTTCCCCAGTCAAGAGCTATAACACTAGAGCTGTAACACTAGCTGTACACATTGCCGCAACATTTTGGTTCCCTGGCTAGGAAAGCCGACCGGGCTGGCCCCTTGAAGCCGCTGGGACAGCACCCTTAATGGTGCACAGCACCCTTGATGGAGGATGCCACTGAGCAGCACCTCTCTCCTTCAGTGCCATGTTGGCTAAGCTGGCCAAGGTCTTGCTGAGGGAGGAGAAGCAGGGGCACTGACGCAGGCCACGCTGTAACAGGCCTTCCGGCAAGTGTTGGCCTCCACGGTGCATGGGCAGGAGCAGGAGGCTGAGCAGGTGGGTGCCAGGATGAGCAAGCTGGAGCAGAAGACCAAGGCCAGGACGTCAGACAAGGTAGGGGCCTAGGACCCGCCCAAGATAGGTCTGTCACTAGGACAGAAGAGGAGCCCCATCAGCTCCTAGGGTATAGGCCCGTCAGTGGGATGGAAGAGGAGCCCACTGGGCTCCTAGGATGTAGGCCCAAAAGTGGGACAGAAGAGAAGCCTGATCGGCTCCTAGAGGTAGGCCCATCAGTGGGACGGAAGAAGAGCCCAATCGGCTCCTAGGGTGTGGGCCCATCAGATCGGCTCCTAGGGGTAGGCGCGTCAGTGGGATGGAAGAGCGGCCCAATTGGCTCCTAGGGGGGTAGGCCCATCAGCGGGACAGAGGCCTGTCATCAGGACAGAAGAGGAGCCCTATCAGCTCCTAAGGACAGGGATCCCCAAGGGGAGGGAATGTGTAACCTCTGAGTGAATGTGAGTGGAGGGAACAGTGACTGCTTGCAGTCATTGTGTCGGTAGCTCCACAGCTTCGGCTACGGGGGTTGAGTGGGTCCTAATCTGGGGTTCTGTGGCAACGTCGGCATAGAAAGGGGAGGAGCCAGAGCAGGGACCAGAGTCTAGGCAGGGATGAGGTTCAGAAAAGGAGTGTTGTCAGGCAGTGTAGGGAACAGGAGTGCTGGCTAAATCAGTTGAAACATGGGAGGATCCGAATCCAAGCCAACAGTTCTAAGGTGCATGCTGATAAGTTTCATGCATTCAGTATGGAGAGTGGTGACTAGGACTGCATACACCCTACCACCATTGGTTTCTCCACCTCTGGTATCTCCACCACTTGTCTGCTGGTCGCAGTCTGCCCCAGCCTTCCAGATGTCTCTGCGTAAAATGCTAGGTCCGCCGCAGGTTTGGGATGCCGGAACCATCCAGATGGGGCAACCTGCCCTGTATTATGAGCCTTTCTCCACCACTGCTCTATTGAATTGGAAACACCACACTCCATCCTACTTGGAGAAACCGCAGGCCCTCATCGACCTCCTGGAGTCTATCTTCCAGACTCACCACCCCACATGGGAAGATTGCTGGCAACTCCTGCTGACTCTCTTCAGTACTGAAGAATGGCGTCGGATCATGATTGGAACTCGGAAGTGGCTGCAGGAGCGGGCGCCAGCGGGCACCCTGGATGTGGAACAATGGGCATCTCAAGCGGCGCCTGAGACCATCCCAGGGTGGGATTTCAACACTGTGGAAGGGCAAGCAGCACTTGAGCGGTACCGAGAAGCTCTTCTCCAAGGAGTTTGGGAAGGGGCCAAAAAGCGGACCAACATGAACAAGGTTGCCCTAATTACCCAGAAGCCAGAGGAGTCACCCAATGACTTCTACTAGCACCTCTGTGAGGCGTACCGAGTATATACACCTTTTGACCCAGAGGCAGCCGAAAACCAGAGAATAGTGAATACAGCGTTCAGTTGGGCAATCAGCCTCCGAAATCCCAAGGAAGCTGCAAAAATTTGAAGGATTTGCAGGCATGCCTATCACACAGTTAATGGAGGTGGCCCAGAAGGTGTACGTCAACCGGGACTGGACCGCTCAGAGGGAGAAAGACCAGAGGATGAAGAAAAAGGCTGCCCTCCTGGCTGCTGCCCTCAGTAGATCTGACCTGTCCAGGCAGCCTGGACCCCCATGAAAGGGGGGAACCAGAGGATGGGCGCCCCTGGCGGGAGAACAGTGAGCCAATTGCAAGGGGTTTGGCCACTGGAAGAATGAATGCCCCCACAAGGGAAGTCAGCAAAGGGGGCAACCAGAGGATGGGTGCCCCAATAATAGTAAGAAAATATATTTGCCTTACAACTAAAAGATTTGCTGAAACTGCAGAAAATTCCTTTTGTTTTCATAATCATCATGCCAAAGATCCTTAACTCCTTTTACTTTAAAAGCTGAGGAGGAATGAATTTGAAATCTAGGTTTTCTTTTACCTTTAATACATTGGACTTTCTTTATAGTTCTTATGCTTCAACTATGGTTACATAAGCCCCATCTACAGTTACAAGTTTACAGAGTTCTAAAATGTTTTCTACCCCACATTCTTGGAAATGCCCTACAGTTTTAGAAAAGCCAGAGTTAAAATCAGCATTTTAAGTTGAGGTTTTGACCCTGAAAATCACTTCTGCAGAACTGCCTTAGACTCCCATCTCCCAAAGGATTGGAACAGACCAGAGCCAGGGGTAGAGACAGGGCCCTAGCCTGCACCTCAGAACCTAAAGCATAGAAACCAAATGAATAAAAACATGATGACAGTGAATCTTGCATTCCTCCACTCCAGCTGAGTGGCCAGCAGCTTATTTAATCTTACTTCATGACTCTATGTACAATGACATGTTTCTTGGTACATGGTCCATGTCTGCTGTTCAACAAACCCTGCTATAGAATTTTGCAATTAAATATCACTCAAGAAAATGGGAGAGTTTGAGCTAGGATCGGCTAATCTGTTTTGCACAGAATATGTATTTATTCTGCAATCCTGAAATACAATAAATATATACATGGTATAGTATTTCAATTATATATGCCAGGATATATACGTATGATGCATCTTTTTTTTTTTCATATAATTAATTTTTCTTCCATCTCTGAATTTAAGAAGTTTAAAAAGGTAAAGCCTGGCTCAGAAAATATTTTCTTACTCTGCTAGTCTTCATAGCACTACACTCCTAAAAATTTTGTGCTAAATTTTTCAGGCTATCACAAAGAAGCACATTTTAGAAGAGCTACATTGTTTCAAGTTATATAAATAGCATTTGTCTGAAAACAAAAGATGAAAAATGGTCCCCATGATTGAAGAGTCTGGTTAATGGGTTCCAAGTAATTGAAGTTTTGTCATACAACTGTGTTTTACTCCCATTTCTTCCAGTGGTTACAGGAAGGAACATATTTTTTACCAGAACTTTCTGAGCTTCTGTTTTTCTTTTGTTGTTGTTGTTTATTTCTTATTGTTAAGTCTGTTTTGAAATGGTACTTAAGATTTCCTTGAATTTTTCACTTATGCTGGTTTGCTTACATATAAGTTTAACCCTTCGAAGTGTAACTGGACAAAAATTGCTTGAGATACCATAACTTTGATGCCTCTGACTTTTGAAGAAAAATTCACATTTAATTCTGTGGAATATCAACTCAAATCATTTTGGGAGTTCTGCTGATGGCCTAGGCTCTGTTTTGGAAGGGAAGAGACTTTCAGTTAAGTGCCGTGAGTTGGTGACAATAATCCAGAACCACACCTCTCACGTCCTATTCATCTGTGATGGTGGTTGTATTTCATAAGCTGTTTTCCAGCTGTGGGAGAGTTCACTGAGTTGTTACTAAGTTATCTTTAAGTTATCTTTATCATTAGATTTAAGATTTAATGATGTTTTCAAGACAGATCAGAGTATGTTTTCCATTGATACTTTAAAGGAGCTATTATCACTACCTGATTTTGAAATAACACATTTTTGCCTCTTCTAAATCTGACTTTTAAAGTGGGTGCGACAGCTAAAATTAGTTTAGAATTATGAAAACTCAATAGCTTTACCCTAGGGCAGTTAACTTTTGTGATGATGTACCTGATGCACAACTATCCAGGTGCATTTCCACTAGAAGATACGATAGAACAGAGAAAGACTTTGAATCAATCCATCTTCCTTCTTGTTAACTACTCTAAAAAGAAATAAAGTATGGTAAGAGAGTGACATGATGAGAAACAGGTTCTTAAAATTATCCTAAAAACTCATTTATACTTGATTGGCCTTCTCTTGTCCCTCATTAATGTTTGGGCATATGACTTCAGCTGCAGTTTAATGGTGACCTTTGCTAAGGACCTTGCTTGGCATTGATGTGTACAAAATGGTGAAGGTCTGTCCCTTCCCTGGAAGCACTCATAAGCAAGTGGGAAAGATGCCCGTGTAATCAGCTCACTATAACAATAAGTTATCATAGCTTTCATATAGTGAAATGAACATGATACAGAAGTAACAGGTTGTGTGTTGCCTTCTATAAAGAACATAAAGTTATTGTTTTGGTGTTCCAACAAAAGTTAAAATTATGCAGTTGTAGACTTTCACCTTTCTATATGTTATAAGCAGGAAGTTGCAAGAAGATAGCCAACTACAGATATAGTGCTTTGACATGAAATTGAGTTTCCTTTGCCTAATGTTTGCTCAGTGGGAGATCAGAATAAAAGCTTGGTGTTGCTAATGCCATGCCAAAAGCAACAGTGAGAGTTGGCCTAGAATCAACTTTCTCAGACTGGGAACAAATTTAGTTTACTTTTAAGTTTTTGTAAACAAAAGTACAACAGCCAATGCCTTGGGTCATATCCTGTTTGTGTCATGGTTTGGTTTCAGCACATCTAGCCTCACCAGGAGTCTCAGCAGAATAGGGTCTCCAAGAAAGGATAATGTACTGTGGACACGTTACTTAGTGTATGTCAAGCACAGTGATGCTGCCCCAAGCCCCCAAGTCTCAGCTTGTACCCAGAATACTTTAGCTCCCCAATTATATGACAACCCTTCTATATGGAATACTGGGGAAAATTCTAAGTAGCTCTTGAGGCAATTGTGCCCCAATAGCACTCGAATATAAATTTCTAAGTTTAATTCACTTCTGTCTCCCTAGAACCTCAAGAAGTGCTTGGTACCTATGAGTAAGCACTTATACAATGATTGAATGAATGATTATGAGATTGAGTCTCACAGCTATCTGGGTGCATTTCCTTGAGCTAGCCATTTAAGGGAAGGGGAAAAGAGGACTTAGAATGGTTTACTGCCAGATCCAGTCATGTTCTACTAGCTTCCTAAAGTTGTGTGCAAACAGGAGGATCCACCCAAATGGGTTGTCCTTTCTCTTTCCCACCATAATCCAGACTTTGGCTACCCCAATGGCTTCTGTTAGATAAAAAATCAAAGCCTCTGTTTCTTTGTCCCCAGTCTGTGGTGAACTGGCACAGAGCTCTGTATAGTTCATGGAAGGGGGGGCTTAACTGAAGTTTTCAACAGCACATTTTCTTTCTGGTTTCTCTTATACATACTTGGCATGAGAATAATGATTTAAAATATTTGTTTTTTCATCTATGTAAGGATTTTCTAAAAGAAATTCCTGGAAGTATTTTGTCATCCGATCTTTATGATGAGTGGGTCAGTGTCATGGATAATGGAGAGGATAAAGACAAAATAAATAAAATTCAAAGGTAATTATTCTATTTTGTTATGTCTCAAAAATCCTTTCTAAAACTTTAAAAAGTATAAATTTATCTGTTAAAAATCAAAGTCATATTCATAGGGACCAGTTTAAAAATGGATTTATGCTAGCTCATCATAGTTATTGTCTTCTCCCTAATCATATTTACATGGAATACTTGAACGTTGTACATCTTCTGTATATCTGAATAAATAAGAGGTGTCATTCAGTAGTTCACTAGCTAATACTGTAGGCCACTCTATAGTTTATGATCTTAATTTTGATAAATATTTAAGTAACCAGATAACTCCTTATATAATTCCTTCAGGAACTGAAGTCATACAGAGAAAATGACCCATTTCCTCTACTCTAGCAATTCGGTTTAGTAGAGTAAGAATAGACAAACCAAGAATTACCATAATAATGCAGTATAATCAGTGCTATAAAAGAGCTATCTAGAGAGTTCTGTGGGAGTACAGCAGAGAATCAGTTAACTCCTTGAGAAGAGTCAAGGAAAAGGCGAGTTGTAAAGTCTCAGTCTGATTACAGAGCATGCACTGTTTCTACTCATGCACAGGGAAATTGCTTGGAGAACTTGTCACCCCTATGCCTGGGTATTTCTCACATTATAATAGACTAGGAAAGAAATGTACATTAACAAAAAGAAATACTTTGAGTTCTGGAAAAACTCAAGAATCCCAAAATCATTTATTTGCATATGCTTATTTAGTACAGTTATTTTCTTGAGCAACTTTTAAATGTGAATTATTCCCATACTGCTATTGATAGACATTTATATGTCTACATTTATATGTCTAACATACTATACCTGTGGAATATACCAGAAACTAAACCAGGTGATATAATACTACCTCCACTTTCATTATTGTTTGGTGGAAGCCATTCAGGTAGCATCAAATTTTTATATTTGTTTGCTCATTGTCCAAAACATTATCTATCTATCCATCCATCCTATAAGTTGTTAAAGGGTATTTTTTATAAAAAGGTAATATTATGACTGTCATGCAAACATAAAATAAACACATGTGAAAGATTTTCTTTAAATTATTAATAAGGGAACCAAGAGATGTTACAGCCATCTTTGTAGATTTCAAATTACCACCACTTCTGTGTTCAACCAATTTGAGCCAGAAATACTGAAAATCAATTTACAAAAAAATACAAAATTAGCCTTTTCTACCAGGGCAAGGGTGCAGATAAATCAGTTGTCTCTCCACCAGCCAGAATTTTCAAGTCTTTAGCCAAGTATTATGTACGCTGCTATCAGTTATCTACAACTTACACAGTTGTAAAATAGCCCTTGTGAAAAGGCTTAGGGACTCCATAGTAACCCAGAAGCATTTGCTAGTGCCTTATTTTCCATTGAATACACCCAGCAATCTTTTGGTCTATCTCAAAATCCTTCATAACTTACCCTTACAAAAACTATACTCATTGCCAGTCTATTACAGTGAAGAAAGGCTTTTCTGCTATTTGCAACAGAATGACAATACCTTGTTATGACTAGGTTGCAAAGTCTTATAGAAAACAGCAACAATCATGAATATCAGCTCCTATCTTGTTTTCTGGATAGTAATAATAATAATTTTTGGTGACTAATCATTTAAAAATCCCTTATCAATTACCAAATGAGAACAGTAGAAAACATACTACTATAAGCTTAACTTATATGTGAAAGTGATACTAAGGAGGCAAGATTTGGGACAAAATCAACCTTAGGAAATGGAGGAGCAGAGCATAAACTCTCAGAATGGACCTGGAAATCTTTATAGCTGAGGTTTGGGTTCTTACCAAGAGACAACATTCCTGAGTTGCCTCGTGGAAATAAAGGAGATCTTTACAATTGAATGGCTGTTTAATTTTATCAGAAATGTTTTTTGGGTTTTGGTTGAGATTATTCTGAATTGTTACAGGATTTGCATAAGTTTAAACACATTCTACTAGTTTCAGGGAAATATTTCAGAAAGGTTTTTATTTTTAATGGTACTTTTCCTGCATTCTTTCACATTTCATTGGGTTTTGAAGACAGTGTAGAAATATACAAAAAAATAAACCCCAAGTGCTTATTTTCTCCTCTTCAGGCATCCTCACTTTGCTAGGTACACCTTAAGTGAAGCTTGTGTATCTGAGTTGGGTTCTTGATTTGCCCTCTTCTTTATGCAAGGAAGTTGCCTGTCTTTACAGATTTTAAAAAGAAGTCTTGTGTAAAGAGTGCATTTTTCTGTCTTTAGCCTCTTAGAGAAGCTTCCAAGAGCAAATGTCGTGCTCTTGAACTATCTATTTGCCTTACTGTACAATATTGAGAAAAATTCTACATCGAATCAGATGGATTCATCGAACCTGGCAGCATGTCTGGCTCCCACAATTCTTTGGCCTGCTACTTCCTGCGGCCCAGAACCAGAAAATGAATTGGCAAGAAAGGTAACGAATATTTTCTTGTCTGCCCTGGGGGACTGCATCACCATTTTGAAAATGAAATTTGAAGTATTAATTGTGATAGACAATTTCTTAAATAGCTTAAATATACTTCTAAATTAGAGTTTACTAACTATGGGGTATTTTATTCTATCAAGGTATAAACTATACAAAAGTGATTTGTCAAGAAGAAAAGTAATAACATTGGATTTACTTCTCTTTTCACTGTAAAGAGGATAAACACTATGATTAACTTAAACCACAGAGTGATAAGAAAGCAGGTGATACATTTGTAAAATTTAAATGAGGAAAAACAAACAAAAAGGATGCCTGCATTAGGCAAGCTAAGGTGCAATTCTCAGCTCCAGCACTTGCCTGTTGCATAATCTTAGGCAAATTCAGTGACACTGACACACAGTGTCCTCAACTAAAAATGTGGAAGTGGTAGTAATAGAGTAGTTACTTAAAAACTTCACTCCTATAGTGCCTGGCAGTTAATGTCATGTTTGAAGATATCATATATGTTCAGATATGAAATAGGGTTTATAGACATGTTATATGAGAACTAGCACCTCATGTGTGTCTGTCTTTGTATAGGTTACGCTGCTCTTTCAATTTATGCTGGAGAAATGCCAAACAGTATTTGGAGAAGAGGTCACATCCCTTTACGGAGAATTTTCAGGAACACATGACACTAGAGGAAATTCCTCAGGTATTGCCAATAATTGGATTGTTTTCTGTGAAAAACAGACACATGATTCTGAAGATGATTGGGCAATGGTTTTCCTGGAGCTCCTGTCAGCTGAGGTGAAGGGAGCCTCTGTCCTGGGTCAGTGGGGCCCAAGGCTTCTGATTATTTCCTAAAAGGCCTCTTAATAGGCCAGGGCATGATCATATTATGGTAGGGCTTAGAAATGTATATTAATGAAGTCACAGCTTTTAAGAAGACAGAATAATGGCCAAAAAACATATGAAAAAAATGCTCAGCATCTCTAATCATCAGGAAAATGCAAATCAGAACCACAATGATATGTCACTTATCTCTAGTGAGAATAGCCTTTATTAACAAGTCCCAAAACAATGAATGTTGGCGTGGATGTGGAGAGATAGGAATACTCCTACATTGCTGGTGGGACTGCAAACTAGTTCAACCTCTATGGGAAGCAATATGGAGATACCGTAAAGCGATACAAGTAGATCTACCATTTGATCCAGCAATCCCATTACTGGGCATCTACCCAATAGATCAAAAGTCACTTTATGAAAAAGACACCTGCACTCGAATGTTTATAGCAGCACAATTCACCATTGCAAAGTTGTGGAAACAACCTAAGTGCCCATCAATACATGAGTGGATTAATAAAATGTGGTATATGTATACCATGGAGTACTATTCAGCTATAAGAAACAACGGTAATAGAGTACCTCTTGTATTTTCCTGGCTAGAGCTGGAACCCATACTACTAAGTGAAGTATCCCAAGAATGGAAAAACAAGCACCACATATACTCACCAGAAAATTGGTATTAACTGATAAACACCTAAGTGGACATATAGGAGTAACATTTATTGGGTATCAGGAGGGTGGGAGGGGGGAAGAGGGGATGGGTATATACAAACACAATGAGTGAGATGTGCAACGTTTGGGGGATGGACACACTTGAAGCTCTGACTGGGGGGGGGTGCAAGGGCAATATACGAAACCTTAACATTTGTACCACCATAATATGCAGAAAAAAAAGAAGTTATTGGTGGTAGCATGCTATGGAATGATGGTTTGAACCTTTTTCTTTTGGTTGTTTTTAGTAAAACTTCATGAGGATCCCTAATATATACAGTGCAATGTGCTATGGTTGAAACTAGAATAAAAAGCCCAGAGGTAGTAAAGGCAGGCATGTTTTGTTTTTGTTTTTGTTTTTTTGATTGTTTGGTTTTGTTTCTGTTTTCCTTCCTTTTCCTCCTCTTACTGGGCCCTGAGACACTTCTCAGAATTCTGATGTGCTATGAGATGGTTTGAAAACAACTGTCATCATTTGGGGTAGGGAGATGCTGAATTCAAAGACAAACCATCTTCTAGAATATGAATTCCTGTACCTCCAGTTACTAGTTGTGTTTTCTTGGGCCAATTATTCTATACCACTGAAAATTAATATCTTCATTTATGAAATGTGAATAAAAATTCCTTTGTTGTTATGATGAATATTAAATTAGGTAATGGGTATTAAAAAACTTTGTATTGATAAGTTGATAACTTGAAATTGATAAGGTTAGTGAATGGTTTCCCCAAGGCTACATTAATTATGTATAACAACCAGCAATCCGTGTTAGAAGGCAGAGTATTTTTTTCAGAATCTAGATATATCTAGCATTACTTCCTTCATATTTTTCACCATTTTGTGGCCTTATGACATGTTCATTACTTTGAGAAAATCTTACTTAAGGAAAGCCTATTCATGGGGACCTGAGATACATCTAGTATACTCCAACAGGTGTTTCTTCTTTTATTCTGTACTAACATTTGGCAAGATTGGAAAAGATCCTTTCTTTCTTCAGAGTGTATTCAAGAAAGGAATCTGAATACTCTACATGAAAAGAGAATTAAACTAAGCACCATAATTTGTTTCCAAGGCAGTGTGGGCTCTATTCCTGCTGAGTAAAAGTATTAATCATGGTTTGATTTTTTTGACAGATGTTTCTCACTTTGAACTGAGTGACTCCTCCTCAGTAGAGAGCCTGGAATGTGAGGATGACGTTTATGCTCCATTCTCTGATGTGAAGGACCTTGAGCACTGGAAGACAAGCATACAGTCTATGCTAATGGACATTGAGAATCTTGACCCAGCTGAGGTGGCATACCTTTTATCACTCAATGACTTCCTCTTGGAGCATCCTGAATAGGGAGTTGCTCAATGTGGTGTGCTCTTAAAGCCACACCACATTTTCATTCTCACAAATATTTTTGAGCTTGAGAACACAGGTGTTATTATTATCTCTGTTTTACGGCAAGGAGATTAAGACTCAAAGAGTTAAAGTAACTTATCCAAGGACACTTTAAAAATGAATGGCAGAATGGGGACTCTCGGGCTGGTTTTCTGACTCTGGACCTGCGATCTCTTGAGGACAAGGTAATGCTCAAGATGGAGGGATGGGACTCTTCCCATGGACCTTCTGCTTCTCCATCTTTATTTCCTTCATCCTCCTCCATCCTCTCCTCCTCTCCCGAAGCCACACTGGCACTTCTTCCTCTCGGGTGCATTATTGTATCTTCAAATGCATGTACTGAATTAACCCTCATCTTATTGTTCTCAGATTTGTTGAAAAAGTGGAAGAAGTTCATGTCCGTGGCTTCAGATGGAATTCGTTACTTCTATACCATAAAGTGCTGTAAAGAGGACTTCTGGCCAGCTGCTGAGACATGTCTCTTACAGGCAAAGCAGAGGTACGTGTGCTGTGTCTTTTCTAAACCGTGCCCATTGGGCTTAGACCTGGAAACAGGCCCTGGCTGTGAACAGGCAGCATGTGCATCAGAAGAGAATTTAGATGGGGGAACCCATGGTGTAGTGACTGTGCTGTGATTCTGTGTTAGAAAGTGTGGATTTGGCTTTGTCTTGCTCAGCACAACCAGGGGAAATTATTAGGTCCAAGCTGTCATTGTTGTGTGTTCTTGGCTTCTCTTTTTACTAAAACAGTTTGATATCCAAAACACAATCCTAGGTGGATTCTGATTTCTTTAACGTCTTCTCTATTCCCCTCTAAAATTTCTGCAAGACATCCCTATATTCTCCAGTTATCATTTATGTTAGCTTCTTTCTGAATGTCTTAAAAAACTGATGCCTATTCTGGATTTCACTTATATGTTTTGCTTTACCTACAGTGCCTCTGGAGAGCAAATCTACAATGAGAGGATCCAACGTGGGAATCTGTGATATGCATGCTAAACTCAAACTAAGGTGATGGCGAGTGACATTGCATTAAAAGAATTGTGAATTGGGGTTTTCAAAGGCCTGCCCACAGGAGTCTAGGGCTATTTTATTTATTCCCTGCTCTCCAGGGGCCCTGATGATTTATTTGTTCTAAATCAAATTGATTTAAATGAATATGTAATCAGTCAGAAATAATATTTTTCAATCATTCAATTGGCAATTTTTCTTTTTTGGTTAAGAATATTGGCTATACCTTTACAAAAATAATTATCCAAGCTAAGAGAATAGCATTATTACAATCACTATTAAATTTTTTGTTAGTTCATGTAGGGTAAGAGGGGAAATAATAGTGTAACTGGCTCCATAAGATAGAAAATGCTTTTCTCAATAATACTTTTAGTTTCAATGGGTTTTTAGTGTTCACATTATGGCTGGGGCTGGTAGCTGTTAGTAACCTCCACTGTAAGATTTACCTCGGCCCTGGTAGCTTAGCAGCTACAGTCTCAAAATAGGCAGAAATTAGGCACAGAACAGTCAGATTTGCTGATTGGAACTTTGTAACTTTCTGTTGCACTGACACATTCTCTTTTGAGTTTCTTTGCCAGGAATGGTGGAACCTTCTTCAAAGCCTCACACCACCTGTTTGTTTGGAGAAAAAAAGATAAGTAATACTCTACCACAAACCATGCCCACAGACCCCCTGAATCTGTGTCCAAGGCTGAAAGAATAATCAATATTAACCCCTAGTTTATAATGATACTAAAATCCCCACCCTGGGAGGGGGTTTATCTGCCATTTTTTGATCATGGGACATATTTACTCACATGATTTCTCGCTGCACTTGCATGCCCTGCACTCTACTCCAAACATGCAATGATGCTCACACCCCACCTGCATTATTCATTTCACCTCTAGAAAAAACATGTTGGCTGAGGAGGTTCATTTTAGGCAGTTCATAACCCCCTCCCAGTTGACATGCCCACTAAAATAAATCCTTTCCTCCTTAACAATCCTCGCTATCTTACTAACTGGTTTTCTGTGTGGCAGGCAACATCGACCCCCCCTTGTGGGTTCGTTACCCACTTGGGGTCTCATCCAGGATCCGTTGCTCATGGACTGGTGGCCAAGGAGTGGGGACAGACTTTAGCCTCCCTAGGAGCTGCCTGGCTGAGTTTCTGCCAGAGGTTGGTTTTGGTTTCTCCCACTAATTTCCCTATTGTCAGCCCCAAATGCATCCCTGATTGTCAGGGACGAATGGACTTTTGACTTTTGGATTTTGGCATTTGCATCTGGACAGGTGAGAGCTCTTTGAAGGTACTGCACATCAGAAAAACTCATTTCATCCTCTGGGGAGGTTCTCTGGAATTTCTGTTTGGGAGGGGAACCTCAGCCATTTGGGAGAGTAGGACCTAAAACTCCTCTCTCCGTTTGGGGAATTCCTCCACAGTTCGTGTTTAGGCTAGAGACCTCAACCATTTGGCAGGGTAGGACCTGTGACTGTTTGTATTGGGCACTCCTTAGGCTCATTTGTTGGAACTGCAGTCCCTCTGGTATGTGTGTTTGTGTGTGTGGCATGGGAAATAAGAATTCCATTCATAAATGTAAAAGTTGTACACTGGGAATCCTCTGTCCCTGCTGTATGGGATTTCGTGCTATTTGGACCTATTCGAACAGGTTGTTTGTGGTAATGGTTTGAGATAAGATTCTTGAAAACTTCTCCCCAGTCTCCTTCTACAAATATTCTGAATGAACTGTATTTGTTTTGGGTTTTGTTTTGTCTGATGTGTTTTTCCCGGGCTTGTGTTTGAAACCTTTTCCATTTCTCTTTGTATTGAGTGTTTATCTGTATTAGTATATGACATATAAATGTACTGTCTATGATAAAGTTTAAAAACATGCCAGGTTTTCTAGGACTTCAGCTTGTCTCCACACACTATGCTCTGTTCTTGTGCACATGTTTGAAATGATGGGCAAATTACATCAAGACAATTTCAGAGCTCAAATGGTCTGTCTGGCACTGTGGAGTTAAAGTACAAAGTTTCTTAAACTGTCTGTCTTTTCCTGGATGAAGCTGTGATTTCTAAGTTATGGATGTTGAGATGGAGCTCATTCAACTATGTTATCACAAATTCAAGGCCAGCTGGGAACAGCCAGTTACTCATTTGAAACTGAAGGGGAAAAAAGGGTTAAAGAGGCCTTTTTTAAAAAACTCAAACTCCCACGAAAGCTGCTTTACCCAAAATTTTAGTCCATAGTTTTCATGACATTGCCTCTTGGGGCAACTGCAGTTTGGCTATGTGAACAAGTCTCAACTTTGACAAAAACAATTTGATCCAACCATCTTTTACAAAGTAATCTGAATATGGCTATGAGCCTATAAAAAAAATTGTATATTTGTGTAATACTGCCTGGCCCCAGTAGTCTCACGGGGCTGGGAAATATGGCTCCTTAATGGCTCATTGAGCTGCAATATTATTCTCCAATTAGATTTGTTTTGTCACTGTGTCGGGAAATGGGACGAAATCCCTTACGTATAGTTTTCTATGATTCTGTATCAAAACAAGGCAGATCCAATTAAATGTAAGATTCTAATACAGAGGACAGAAACCTTCAATATGGTTGGGGAACAAGAAGCCAGGTCTAAGAACCCTGTCTTGCCATTAGAAGAAAATGCCCATGTTGAAGTAGACCTTTGGGCAGCTGTAGCAGTGGCTCCAGCTCTGGCTATGCTGGCTCAGGCTCAAGCTGTGCTGATGTGCTGGCTGCAGCTTTGGCCACAGTGGTGGCGCTGGCCAGAGGGCACAGCAGGTACACCAAGTAACCCCTCCAATCAGGTGCAGCCTCCCCATGGTGGTAGAAGAGCCCTGATCAACATATTAGTGGCTCCCCCTAGCGGCATATCAAGCAACCATAGAAACACACACATCCAAGCTAGTAGGCAGCACCTGCAATCTGCCTTGCTCCTAAACATCACCTCTGGCGCAGAGTCTAACCAGGGTGTTTCATTTTCCAAACAAAACCCAAAAGGTAGAAGCAACAGCTGATCCAGATGGGAAGGAATCAGCAAAAGAACTCTGGAAGTACGAAGAATCAAACAGAAAGCACACAGAAAGTTCCCAAAGGGGAACACCAGCTCTCTAGCAATGGACATCACCCAAATTGAGAAAATGAAAATGACAGAAGAAAATTTTCGAACACAGATTGTAAGAAAACTCAATGAAATGCAAGAAAAAAAAAAAAGGATAACCAATACAAAGAAACCACAAAAAATCCAGGACATGGAAGAAAAAAAATGCACTAAAGAAATTAAAATATTAAAGAAAAACCAAACCAAACTCCTCGAAATGAAGAATTTTTTTCAAGGAACCACAAAACACAGTGGAAAGTAGGATGTACTATGGTTGAAACTGAAATAAAAAGCCCAGAGATAGTAGGGGCAGGCCATTTTTTTCCTTACTTTCCCTCTTCTTACTGGTCCCTGAGACACTTTTCAGAAGTCTAATTCTAATGTGCTATGAGATGGTTTGAAAACAACTGACATCATTTGGGGTGGAGAGATGCTGAATTCAAAGGCAAACAACCTTCTAGAATATGAATTCCTGTACCACCAGTTACTAGTTGTGTGTTCTTGGGCCAATTATTCTATACCACTGAAAATTAATATCTTCATTTATGAAATGTGGATAAAAATTCCTTTGTTGTTATGATGAATATTAAATTAGGTAATGGGTATTAAAGAACTTTGCATAAGAGAAATTGATAAGGTTAGTGAATGGTTTCCCCAAGGCTACGTTAATTATGTATAACAACCAGCAATCCGTGTTAGAAGGCAGAGTCTTTTTTTCAGAATCTAGGTATATCTAGCATTACTTCCTTCATATTTTTCACCATTTCGTGGCCTTATGACATGTTCATCACTTTGAGAAAACCTTACTTAAGGAAAGCCCATTCATCACCCAATAGGTGTTTCTTCTTTTATTCTGTACTAACATTTGGCAAGATTGGAAAAGATCCTTTCTTTCCTCAGAGTGTATTCAAGAAAGGAATCTGAGTACTCTACATGAAAAGAGAATTAAACTAAGCACCATAATTTGTTTCCAAGGCAGTGTGGGCTCTATTCCTGCTGAGTAAAAGTATTAACCATGGTTTGATTTTTTTGACAGATGTTTCTCACTTTGAACTGAGTGACTCCTCCTCAGTAGAGAGCCTGGAATGTGAGGATGACGTTTATCCTCCATTCCCTGATGTGGTGAAGGACCTTGAGCACTGGAAGACAAGCATACAGTCTATGCTAATGGACATTGAGAATCTTGACCCAGCCGAGGTGGGATATCTTTTATCACTCAATGACTTCCTCTTGGAGCATCCTGAATAGGGAGTTGCTCAAATGGATGGGCCTCTTAAAGCCACACCACATTTTCATTCTCACAAATATTTTTGAGCTTGAGAACACAGGTGTTATTATTATCTCTGTTTTACGGCAAGGAGATTAAGACTCAAAGAGTTAAAGTAACTTGTCCAAGGACACTTTAAAAATGAATGGCAGAATGGGGACTCTCGGGCTGGTTTTCTGACTCTGGACCTGCGATCTCTTGAGGACAAGGTAATGCTCAAGATGGAGGGATGGGACTCTTCCCATGGACCTTCTGCTTCTCCATCTTTATTTCCTTCATCCTCCTCCATCCTCTCCTCCTCTCCCGAAGCCACACTGGCACTTCTTCCTCTTGGCTGCATTATTGTATCTTCAAATGCGTGTACTGAATTAACCCTCATCTTATTGTTCTCAGATTTGTTGAAAAAGTGGAAGAAGTTCATGTCCGTGGCTTCAGATGGAATTCTGTTACTTCTATACCTTAAAGTGCTGTAAAGAGGACTTCTGGCCAGCTGCTGAGACATGTCTCTTACAGGCAAAGCAGAGGTACGTGTGCTGTGTCTTTTCTAAACCGTGCCCATTGGGCTTAGACCTGGAAACAGGCCCTGGCCGTGAACAGGCAGCATGTGTGTCAGAACAGAAGATAGGTAGGGGAACCCATGGTGTAGTGACTGTGCTGTGATTCTGTGTTAGAAAGTGTGGATTTGGCTTTGTCTTGCTCAGCACAACGAGGGGAAATTATTAGGTCCAAGCTGTCATTGTTGTGTGTTTTTCCTTCTGTGTTTACTAAAAGAATTTAGTATGCATGATCCAACCTCAGCTGGATTCTGATTTCTTTAGGGCTTCTCTGTCCTCCTGCAAAGTATCTGGCAGATATCCCTGTATTTTCCAGTTATTTATTTTTGATCCTTTCTGAATGTGTTACATAACCGATACCTATTCTAAATTGCACTTCATTGTTTTGCTTTACCGACAGTGCCCGCAGAGAGCAAAGCTATGATGAGGACATCCAAAGTTGAAACCTATAATATGCATACTGAAAGTGAAACTAAGAAGATGGCCAGTGACATGGCACAGGGAGGATACTGAATGGGGGTTTTCAAAGGCATGTTCACAGGGATCAATGCCTCTTCTGCTTATTCCCTCCTCTCCCTGGAACCTGTTGATTTGTTCTTAATCAAACTGGTTGAAAGAATAAATAACCAGTCAGAAATAATGGCTTCAATCACTCAATTTGCAATTTTTTCTTTTTTGGTCAACAGTATTTTTACCTTTACAAAAGTAATTATTCAAGCTGAGAGAAGAGCATTAATACACCTATTATTATATTTTGTCTTAGTTCACTTAGGGTAATAGGGGAAATAATACTTTAATTATTGTAATGCTAAATTAGTAAGAAACAGTCCACCCTATTATTGCCACCCTATTATTTATCATTCTGTATTTTACATTTTATCTAAAATATTATTTTAACTCTTGGTTCAATAATATTCTATAATAATGATACCATTAGAAAGCTATTCTTCATTTTCCCGTTGGATATCTTTTGTTTAGAAAAAAGATTTTGAGATGGGAGGGAGAGAAAAAAATTTTTAAAAGATTTTATCAAATATTAAACAAAATAATCTTAATGAGAAATATGCAAAGTATAAAGAACTATGATACATTGACACGTGTGTCCCATTATCCAGTTTAAGGATAAGAATAATGTCAGTGCCTTGCACGTTCCCAGTGGGTCCTCACCCATCCCTTCATTTTCCCTAGAAGTCATCATGCTCTTGAATTTTCTATTTATTTACTCCACTGTTTTTCCTTGAGTTTTACCTTATATGTTGGTGTCCCTAAACACCATATTGCAAGGCTTTGAAGTTTTACTAATGTAATTCTACTAAAATTGGCTGTTTTCACTAAATATTAGTTTTTTCTGGGGGGGCACAAGGAATCATGACTTCTTTATTAAGAAAACTGCCTTTAGCCTCCTGTTTACCAATATTTAATGTTTTAATGCTGCAAATTAATCAGTACCCTTTTTATAAATGTCAGAATATTACTGGGGTACAAGTGCTTTGGTTACATAAATTGCCTTTCAGCTGCCCAAGTCTGAGCTATAAGCTTACCCATCCCCCAAACATCATGCACCACACCCATTAGATGTGAATTTACCTATCCCCTTCCCACCTGCTCGACACCCAATGAATGCTACTTACATATGTGCACATAAGTATTGATCAATTAGTGCCAATTTAATGTGCATGTGGAACATGTGGTGCTTGCTTTTGCATTCTTGTGATACTTCATTTATAATAATGGGCTCCAGCTCCATCCAGGAGAATAGGAGACTACCATTTTTTTACGGCTGAGTAGTACTCCATGGTGTACATATACCACATTTTATAAATCCACTCATGTGTTGATGGACCCTTGGGTTGTTTCCACATGTTTCCAAATGTAAATTGTGCTGCTATAAATATTTCAGTGCAGATGTCTTTTTTATAGAATATCTTTTTTTCCTTTGAGTAAATACCTAGTAGTGGGATTACTGGATCAAATGGTAGTTTCACTTTTAGTTCTTTGAGATATCTCCATATTACTTTCCATAGAGGTTGTACTAGTTGGCAGTCCCACCAGCAGTGTAAGAGTGTTCCTATCTCTCCACATCCGTGCTAATATTTGTTGTTTTGAGACTTTTTGATAAAAGCCAAGAGATAATCAAGATGGCGGATGAGAAACACCACCAGAGTGTCTCTGCATAACAGACAGATTCTAGCAGAAATTTGAAGAAAGAAGCAAAAAGATGAGCATACATCGGATGAGGGTCGGAAGAAGGGATACCTGAGACCACAGGAAACTCCACGGAAGGAGGTTGCAGAGGAGAACTGGAAGCAGAGACCTCTGGAGCAGCCTGGAGAACAGCCCTAAGGGTAGGTGGTGCGATTAACTCTTCCCTCCCTTGCATCTCGGACTGCTGGTGGGCTCCCCAGCGGGTAGATAGACCTGCGGACACTGGCCCAGAGACGACCACCACCAGTGAGTCAGAGTGGTCAAATCTCACCCACAGACACCTACCAGCTCAGAAACTAAACAAGGCGTGTGAATACCCAAATAAAAACCTAAAGGAAAGAAACAACAACTGATCAACATGGGAATAAATCAGCGAAGGAACTCCGAAAATATGAAGAACCAAACGGAAAACACACACCGAAAGAGGAGCACCAGCCCCTTAGAAATCAACACCAACCAAAATCAGGCAACCAAAATGACAGAAGAGGAATTCCGAGTGTGGATCATAAGAAAATTCAACGACCTGCAAGAACAACTCAATAACCAACACAAAGAAACCACAAAAAGCCTCCAGGACCTAGAACAAAAGTTCACTAAAGAAATCAATACAATGAAGAAAAGTTTAACCGAACTCCTGGAAATAAAGAATCAATTCAGGGAACTACAAAATTCAGTGGAAAGCCTCAAGAACAGGGTAGATCAAACAGAAAGAAAGAATCTAGACATTGAAAATAACACTTCCAAAATTAATCAGTGCACAGATATAGACCAAAAAAACAAAGCGAAAGGAAGGCAAAGCCCATAAAGAGATGTTTGGGATTATGTTGAAAAAAACCCTAATTGTGAGGGGGTCATAAGGTTATTACCCGAAGGGAAAGAAGACAACAACAAAAGGTTTTTGGGAAAGCCTATTTTGAAAGATATAATACGAGGAAAATTTTCCCAGGCCTTTGGCTAAAAATCTTTTCAAATATACCAAGTTTCAAGAAGCTTCCAAGAGGACCCTGGAGATCCCCGAATTCCAACAGAAGAAAAAAACGCCAAACTTGCCAGTCATTCAGACTGACTAAATACCACCTAAAAGAGCCCTTCTAAAGAAAGCCTGTAAGAACAAAGAAAGCAAGTAAACATAACAGGGAAAAAGCCAATTGATAACACCAGACTTTCTTTTCTACTGAAGAAAACTTGATAAAGCAAGGAGAGACCTGGTCCCTTTTTACTCCTTCTTGAAACAAGACAATGCCCAGCCCCTAGAACTTTATTACTCAAAACTAAAAGTTTTTTTGTATCATGAAGGAGAAAATCCAAAAAGAAAACATTTTCTCAGAATAAAGCAAGACTGAGGGAACATTTCACCAAGACTAAGAACCAGCCCTTTCAAAATTTACTCCAAAACAATGTTTACCCCACGGATCAAAGGCCCCACAATAAAATACCTCCAAAATGTAAAGCTACTCAAAGCTTAAAGATCAAAGCCCAGACAACTACAAATGGCCTCAAGAGAGAAAACAAAAAGCAACAAAAGTTTCCCAACCAAACATAAATGAGCCCAAAAATCTGGCCCCACCTATGAGTTTTTATCTTCAAAATTAAAATGTGAATGGCTTTGAACTCCACTGAAAGAAGAAACACAGGCTAGCCGAAAGGGATAAAAAAAGCCACAAACAAGGGTATCTGCTCCTCAAGGAACACATTTTAACTGCCAAAAGGGAATGAAGTTAGACCTAAAGGTAAAGGGGTTTGAGAAATGGATATTTTCAAGCAAATGAAGCCCCAAAAAAAGAAATTCCGTTTGGGGTGGTGGCTTGATTACACGATAACTTAAGTTTTTTCAATCAACCAAAAGTAAGAAAGAAACAAGAAAGGGGTCACTATTATATGGTTGAAGGGGTACAAGTTTTCCAACAAGAAACATAACCAATTCCCTAAATGTAATAAATGCAAAACGCAACCTAGGTTTTTGGGCGCCCAGATTCCAATAAGTGAAACTTCCTACTTGAAAACTAAACCAAAATGATAAAACAACCAACACCATAAATAGCTGCAAGACTTTTAACACCCCACTGAACAGCACAAAGGACAGATCCCCTCCAACAGAAAATCAAACAAGAATAATGGACTTAAAATATGAGGCCCTACAACGAAAAATGGGCTGAACTAAACATTTTACAGGACCACTTTCCGTACCCCAAAAACCACTGGAATACACATTTCTTCCTTCATCAGCTCATGGGGTCCATTCTTCTAAGGATTGAAACCATTAATCCCTAGGACAAAACCCACTCTCAACAATTTAAAAAAAGAAATTATACCCACGTATCTTTTCAACCCACAATGGAAATAAATTAGAAAATCAATCTAACAAAGAAAGTCTCATTTTACAAAAGTCAATGGAAACTTAAAAACCAACCTTCCTGCTTAATGATCACCTTAATAAAAACAAGGAAATCAAGAAATGGAAAAATCAAAAGATTCTTTTGGAATAAACGACAAGGTGAACCAAAATTACTTAAAACCTGTGGGACAAACAGCCTAAGCAAAAGTCTGAAGAGGAAAAAAGTTTTATTTCATAAATTGGCCTATATCAAAAGTCGAAAAGTCACAAAAACAGACCCAACCTAAAATGAAATCATCTCCAAAAGACCTGGGAAAAAGAAAGAAACAGACAACCCCAAACCCCAGCCAGAAAGAAGTGAAATCATTAAGAAAATCAAATCCAGAACTAAAAAAATTGAAAAACAGGGAATTATATGAATAATAAAACAAATGGTTTCTTTTGAAAAAAATAAAAACTGAAACACAACATAGCTAGACTTAAACAAAAAACAGAAAAGAAAATCTTTCTAAATAACTCCATCAGGAACAAATAAAGGAAGAATTACAACTTGATTGCCACAGAGATAACAAGATAATTAATTTTTTCTGAAATACTACCAAAAAACCTCTTAATGCGAACAAACTGAAAAATGTGGAGAAAATGGAACAATTTCTTAGAACACACAGCCTCCCTAGGCTCAAAACTAGGGAAGAAATTCAACTCCTGAAACCAGATCAATTATCCAAGTTTAACCTAAAAATTTGGAAACAGCAATAAAAAAACCTTCCTAAAAAGAAAAGGTCCTGGGGATCAGAAATTTGGTTCCACACCCGAATTTACCAACCCTACAAAGAAAAACTGGTGCCTATCCCTGCAAGAAATAATTCCCAACAACAATTGGAAGGATTTTGGATTTCTCCCCCAACAACAATTTTTATGAAAAAGTGAATAACCCTGAATACCAAAAACCCGGAAAGATGCCACAAAAAAGAAAAATACAAAACAATATCCCTTTTTATGAATATAGATGCAAAAATTCTCAAAAAATCTAATTCAGTCCAAATCCAGGGGTGTTTTGTCAAAATAATTTCAAATCACAACCAGTGGGCTTCATCCCAGGGAATGCAGGGATTGG